ACTAATTTACATATTCGATCCCACTTCGGTTTTTTCCGTTTATTTTACGAGAATTAATATGGAGTGTATCACTTACGTTTGGAAAACTCTCATTAGATTAATTTAGGTTCTTGTAACATCCGCAATAGCACAATCGGTTAAGTGATTACCTAATGCATGAGGGGTCCGAGGTTCGATCCCCTTTTTTGACATTCTTTTTAGACTTATTCTTTCTTTATTTTTAAGTATATTTTAATGAAAATGGTCAAGCGCTTGCAATTTGTCTACACGGAATTATCACATTTCATATTGTATAATTACATTTATTGATTTTAATCGGAATGAATTTTCAGTATTAATTCTTAAACATTGTTATATACAAATGTATAGTATTTACAAAAAGGTGCAAAACATATTAAAAACGGAACAACCATAACTTAAAAAACATGTTGAAAATAGTTATGAATAAAAAATACTGGCCATACTCTGTCTCGATCCTACAACACGTTGAACATTGAGATAAAATATACCAGTGGTTTACCCTATAACGGTCAGTGTAACTAATTCAAAATAACAAGATGAATTTAATCACATCTTACTGCGCACATCTCACGGAATTTACCGAACATTTATCGAATATTAATATATTCTATGCATTGACCGTATAATCAGTATGGAATTGACAGGTTAATAAAATCAAACAATACATGGTGTTATTTCAAACTATCATCCTACTGGGGCGAGTTATCTATATAAACTTAAAACACTATGGTCTAGTTCAAGTTCTCTTCCCTGGCTGCACTGCTCCTGTAAGCTTTTTACCGTTGTATTAAAATTGTGGTTGGTACAGTATCATAATCAAAGCGCTGAAAGCACTGCTTCAAACCCTTGTTAAGCTTTAAAATCATGTACTAAGATCATACAAACAAACCAGCAAAGTAACGGTTGAGACCATATATAAATACCATGGAATATATTTCAAGGTATGACATTCGAAGAGGTTGAGAAATGATACTGGGTTAGGTTGAAATTTTCCTTTCATGCAATATACTTCCACATGTGAGTAGAAGTGTCAAACACAAAAGTCAGTGTACTTTAACTGTATTTATTCCAAGAAATGATTATAACTTTAATTGTAACTTTAATGATGGTTTAATACTCAAACTATTAAAGTGACATTATGCACATATTTTTCGCTTTTTAGTTGAGTTGAATTAGTAATATACTTCAAAAAATTGGCTTTTATAATGGTGATTCACAGTTAAGTGAAACAATATAAAACAAGAGGGCCAAGATATCCCAGATCGCTCTCCTGACCCATTGAACTCATCTGAGCAATTACTAAGACAACCTACCTGACCAAGTTTGATGACAATTGAGTCAAAAATGTGACCTCTAGAGTATTAACAAAGTTTTTCCATATTTGGGAAAAGTGACCTAGTTTTTGAACCCAGGTGACCCATATTTTGATATCAACAGTATATAGTAATTTCATATGTGATTTGGGAGCAGTCAAACTGTTGGCCCGAGGTGGAGGGGGTAGTGTTTTGAACTGTTGCCCAAGGCCGTAGGCCTAGTTTTTCATCAGAGATGACCCATGTTCGAAATCCTCCGAGCAATTAACTAGACAAGCATCCTGACAAGTTTGATGATGATTGAGGCAAAAATGTGACCGCTAGAGTGTTATTTATACAAACTTGGTAGACACCTACTAGAAGATGTTCCATGCTTAATATCTAAGCTTAAGCTCTTTTGGTCTTTTAGAAGATTTTTTTGTTTCCACTATAAACATTAAATAAAAATAAATGACACCTGGGGCGGGGCCAATTTGACCCTTGGGCTTTTATTTAAACAAACTTGGTAGACACCTACTAGAAATGTTTCATGTTTAATATCTAAGCTCTTGCTCTTCGGGTTTTTTAAAAGATTTTTAAAGTTGTTTTTTTTCGGTTGCCATGGCTAAAAAGAAACATAAATTCATTTGTTGGAGTGAAAGTTACAATTTAATTAAGTCATTTTTATACTAAATAAAGGTGTTCTGTATATTTTTTACAAAAAAAAAACAACTGAAAACAGTGTTCTTACTTCATGGAATTTTAACCCTTTCCCTCATGAGCATATTGTGAAAAATGGCCGTTTTCATTGAAAAGCCTCCTGTTACAAGTTCAAACTGTTATGAAACTATGAAAAATGCTTCATTATACTAATCAAACTTGACACAAATGTTGACTGGACCATTGCCTTTGTAACGACATGCTCAGTCTTAAATTTCCTGTTACCATTGCAACGAGGGGAGGTCTCAAAATAACCAAATATCACTATTTTGCTTTGATTTTTTCCATCAAAATTTATTTCAAAGTGCTGCAACTTCTCAAGGGATTGAGATAGAGTCAAAGGCTTTTCAGCGGTGGTTACACGTTACCTTATGAGTTATGATCGATCTAGGGTCATTTTTAGCGTCTCACAAGTCCAAAACTTTCTTAGCGATGAGGGGGGCTACCGCCCCCCTTCAAACCCCCCAAACAGAAGAGGGCACATCCCCCTTCTGGCAACCCCCTGATCTATCTTTTGGATGGGGGCTCACTTATTTTAGCAACATTTCTCAAACGAATACATGCGTTTGGGGCCCAAAAAGGACATTGTTTCACTATTTGAGGCCTAAAAGAGGGGGGGGGCGAAAGTGCGTTGTTTCGCGTATATATGAGGTAAAAGGTTAAGACTGTGTCCTGAGAAATTTGACTCAAGGTCAAAGTGAATTTCTAACAGTTGGGCAGAGTATAAAAGTGAAATAAACGAATTGGACACTGCTAATAACAGATCATGAACGTAATAAAAGACATTAGTTTTAGACACTCATATTTATGTTAGTTTAAATTTCTAGAATGAAAAACATTAACTGTCAGATACACTGCCGGTGTGGAATACTTTATCTTATTAAATGACTTTGCAAGTTTGTTTGTTTCATACATGATACTCTGATAAATGTTAAATGTCAGTTAATATAAAAGATGACAATTGCTTGTAATTTGACCTGTGAAAATATAAACATTTAGTAGTTAGTTCCTTAGTTCCACATGATTAATTAATTGTTAGCACTTTCTCTTTATAGTAAAGTAAATTATTCTTCCAAGAAAAGTAAGAATTTAGTATACAACAGTCAACTTCAATTGTTTTATGTCTTGTCCCAAGGATTGTTGTGCATAAGTAAGAAGACAATACATTCATTACTTACAAAGTTACAGCCAAATATATTACAATAAATTGACATTCAATTTCAAGGTAATTCATGTTCATTAAGTTTCATCTTCTGTAAGACATTGTCCTGAAGGTAATTGTGCTCAAGTTTGAGGCCTATCCGTTCATAAAAATCAAAGTTATAGCCTACTATAACAACAAGAGCAATCAGTGATCACATGTGTCGACTCATGGTAACAAATTGCATGTTGCAGTTACTGTGTGGCAGGAAACACAAATCATCAACAGGGCAAAATGCCTTTTTTAATCAAGGGCCATATTACTCAGCCCAAAACCATTCAACTGGAAAACCTGTGTAACATGCGCACATACTTGAGCTACAGATCAATTATGTAAAGTTTCACTGAATTTTTTAATTTTTAAAGTACCCCGGACAAGCTTCTGTATAGCTGGCAACACAGAAAAAAAACACGTTTTTTATTCAAGGGTCATAACTCTGCCAAAAATCATCTAACCGGAAAAACAGTGTAATATGCGTAAGGACTTGAGCCAAAGTTTTATTGAAAATGCATTAGTGGTATAAAAGGAGTAGTCGATGCAAACTTTAAAATCAAAAATTATTAAAGGGCCATAACTCTGAAATTAATCATTGAACTGGAAAATGCTGATGATATGCACAACTAGACTTGGTACTGATCATTACTGTAAAATTTGGATGAAATTGCACCTGTAGTTTTTGAGGATTAGTCCGAACAATTTTTGTGACAGACAAACTATTCTGTAGATGCAACACAAAAATCCAGCAAAATTCATTAAGGTATTAGATGTATAACTGACACTTTTTCAAAAGGCGTTTAAAACTTTATATTATTAAACTTTACTAAGTTCTGGACATTAATACAAAACATATACAAAATTTTACCATCTTGTTTAAAAAAATATTGATAATTAAATTTAATCTTTTGTATCGGTTTAATGCAACAACAACAAGACCAATTCTGTTATCATTACCTGTAGAAATTATTTATGGTTTTCCTTACTTGAAAAGTGATAATAAAAAACTGTAGTTTTTTAATAACTTCAAGTAAATCAATGTAAAATGTATATGAAAAGATTTTATTTGTTTATTGAGACAGGTACCTGTCATTTTACATCAAATAAGAAAGTGGGGTATAAAAACTTGTCAGATTTTGTCAAAAGTAAACGGGGCATCAAAATATTTTTTTTATAATAATTATCTACAAACTACTTTTACCATTTGTGTAAAAAATAAAGAAAATTTACCCAGCTAATTTTAAGTTATAATCATTTCAATGTGTTATGCAATCCAATTTCACACTTTTCACAGTAAAAATTATACATAAAACTTCAATTTTTTTAAAAACAAATTTTAGATATAAAATGAAGAAACAAAATCATAAAGAGATTTATATTAAGTACATGTATCACAAGGCTTAAACTAAAATGCTTGAACATTAAAATGCATATGAACTATCTGGAAAAACTTATCATTTTTTCAGAAAATATAAAGAAAAACAACTTCACCTACATATTCTTGCAAGTAAATGATTTAAAACATTGTTGACATGATAATTGTTGAAATTTAATTATGTTGATAACTTAACACTTTTACCAATTCCTGTTCTTAAAAAAATAAACAAAGATGTCATTTTATTTCATACATATACCAAAACATTTGTTTCATATGTTAATAATTTAATTTGTTAATGATTTAAACTTTTAAAGCACATTTTATATGACCAGTTAAAAGTGTGGAGAATCGTCGCTAATCTGGGTGAGTGGTTAACAGTTGGTTACCCTCTAACTTGATAAATATTTATCCAGTAAATTAGAAAAGGAAGTGTTCTTAGAAATACTTAAATTTCTTTGATTTCAGTCTATTGTAAGAAGACAACAATGTTCTCATAAATATATATCACTGCACACATTATAACAGTTCAAGTATGTTCAGCATATTGTTGTTTCAGTATCAAGTCTACTGCCTCACTAAAGTTGTTCACTGTAACCGCATTATCTGGTAAATATTTCTCATCACCAACTCTGTATTTACCTGTATAATAAATAGAGGATATTAAATGAGTGTAGTTTAATACTAAATTTATTGAACGAGTTGAATAAGATCATATTATGTGAGCCTTTGGCAAGCAAAATATTGTTTTATTCAACGAGTTCAATAAATGTAGTATTGAATCTACACGAATACAAGGAACATCGCAATGCGATGCAACCAGGTTTTCAGCAAAATATTTCACAGAAGCTTTGTCATGGAGGGGCATTTGTTTTTAATTGAACTTTTAGGAGGAATTATGGCTTTTTTAGTATTCCTCAAACAAAAATGATTGAGAAATTTTATGTTGTCTATTCGCCTTTTTTTCCCAAATGTTTTAGAAAGGTAAACAGTACTTTATTTTTGCTTAATTTTTGCGTCTCTTGTCATTTTCTTTTGTCAACAATATTGGCGTGTGGTGTTTTGTGCGATATCAAGAAAAGTATGTTCACAATTTAAAAAAAAAACTTGAATGATGTCTTGGAAGAAACATGGGAATTTAGTGAGCGCCAGGGCACTTGATGACAAAGCTTCTGTGAAAGTTTGGTCAAAATCCATTGAGAAATGTAGGAGAAGTTGCGCACTGTAGAAATTGTTCACTATAATATTCTGTATAAGGAAAAAATATACAAAGGGCCATAATTCTGTCAAATATTATCCAAACACAAAACCCCGACAATATGTGCCAGGCACTTGATAACAAAGCTTCTAAGAAAGTTTGGTCAAAATCCGTTGAGAAATGTAAGAGGAGTTGAGCACAGAAGAAATTGTTCTCTATATATTCTGTATAAGGAAAATATATACAAAGGGCCATAATTCGGTCAAATATTATCCAATCACAAAACCCCGACAATATGTGCCAGGCACTTGATAACAAAGCTTCTAAGAAAGTTTGGTCAAAATCCGTTGAGAAATGTAGGAGGAGTTGAGCACAGAAGAAATTGTTCACTATATATTCTATATAAGGAAAAAAAACAAAGGGCCATAATTAGGTCAAATATACACCAATTGCAAAACCCTGGCAATATGTGTCAGGGCACTTGATGACAAAGCTTCTGAGAAAGTTTGGTCAAAATCCGTTGTGAAATGTAGGAGGAGTTGCGCACAGAAGAAATTGTTCACTATATATTCTATATAAGGAAAAAAAACAAAGGGCCATAATTAGGTCAAATATATACCAATTGCAAAACCCTAGCAATATGTGTCATGGCACTTGATGACAAAGCTTCTGAGAAAGTTTGGTCAAAATCCGATGAGAAATGTAGGAGGAGTTGCACACAGAAGAAATTGTTCACTATATATTTTATATAAGGAAAAAAAACAAAGGGCCATAATTAGGTCAAATATTATCCAATCCCAAAACCCGGACAATATGGGCCAGGGCACTTGATGACAAAGCTTCTGTGAAAGTTTGGTCAAAATCCGTTGAGAAATGTAGGAGGAGTTGCGCACAGAAGAAATTGTTCTCTATATATTCTGTATAAGGAAAAAATATACAAAGGGCCATAATTAGGTCAAATATTATCCAAACACAAAACCCCAACAATATGTGCCAGGCACTTGATAACAAAGCTTCTAAGAAAGTTTGGTCAAAATCCGTTGAGAAATGTAGGAGGAGTTGCGCACAGAAGAAATTGTTCACTATATATTCTATATGAGGAAAAAAAACAAAGGGCCATAATTAGGTCAAATATATACCAATTGCAAAACCCTGGCAATATGTGTTATGGCACTTGATGACAAAGCTTCTGAGAAAGTTTGGTCAAAATCCGATGAGAAATGTAGGAGTTGCGCACAGAAGGAATTGTTCACTATATATTTAATATAAGGAAAAAAAAACAAAGGGCCATAATTAGGTCAAATATTATTTAATCGCAAAACCCCGACAATATGCGCCAGGGCACTTGATGACAAAGCTTCTGTGAAAGTTTGGTCAAAATCCGTTGAGAAATGTAGGAGGAGTTGCGCACAGAAGAAATTGTTTACGCCCGCCCGCCCGCCCGCCCATCCGCCCGCCCGCCCGCCCGCCGACATACCTCAATCTAATAACCAGTTTTTTCCTTCGGAAAACCTGGTTAATAATATTCTTTTTATCACACATATAACATAAGATCAGTCAAATGTTAAAATGAGTAATTTTTCAATGACGCGCCTATAGTGTACAACGCTAACATTAGCGCTCTTTAACACTATGTTTTTATATAGCACAAATGACGTTACGTCAAAGTGTTATTACACTAGTGTAATATCGTTTTTTATTACATGGCTTTATTACACTCCTGCGCCACGGTTTATGTGATAATATAAATAATGAGCATTGACAACATAAATCTATGATACAATCATAATAATGTATTATTGCTATGTTTCTAAAATATTCATAGATATAGCATGATCTGGTTATACATTCCATGCTGATTTTCATTCCAACATCTTAAAATATTTTGCTACATGAAAAAATTTATACTACAAAATGCTTGACAAATGCTTTATATCATTAACATGCTAAATTCTTTCTGAGATATACTTTAATATAAGTATTCACAGTTAAAAGGTATATAAACTGTGGGTTCAATTGAAATACATCTTTATACAATCAATTAATACAACCGATCAAACATATGTAATATTCATTTACTTCACCTTCATTTCAAAAAGGTTACTTCTCTTTCTTCTGTTCACTTTTAGTTGTCTATTACTATTATAATAATGAAATATTTCCATAAACAAATTTAAATGTAAGTAAAACACTAGTTACTAAAATATCACCTGTTTTCACAAGGATTCCTTTCATTCCAGATGATATGGCTCCAACTACATCATCTCTTGCATCCTGAAACCAACACATATAACACTACTATTAAATACATTGTATATATGACAATACATGTATCAATATCTTAAAATCTGTGTCCATCATGCCAATATCCAATAAACAAACATGTACATAAATATAATATTTTACATATAGTTCTCACTTTCTGTCCATTGTATCAATATTTAATTTTGTTTTGTGTGTTTTGGGTTTTACGTCACACCGACACAGTATAGGTCATATGGCAATGTTCCAGTTTTTACAGGTGGAGGAAGACCTCAGGTGCCCTTCCGTGCATTATTTCAGACACAAACAGGCACCCGAGTAGAATCACCGATATTCCGTAAGCTAGCATCAATATTTCATATGCAAGCAATGTACATACATAACATAATATAGGACAAATTATTATAGGAATTATTACTTGCATTCCAAAAGATAACAAGCCTAGACAATTTTTAAACAAGAGCTGTCCGTAAGACAGCGCGCTCGACTTTTTTATTGCTTGCCAATAAAAAAAGTTTTTGCAGTAAAAGGCAATACAAGAATCTCTGTATTTTTAAAGTGAACTAGTTGTTTGATACCCTTGAATATTACAGCAATGTTTATATGACATAATTTATGGTAAAGTGAACAAGTGGATAGGAATGAATTTTTTTAGATTTTTTAAGTTTTTTAGTGCTTGCCTATAATACAAAACATTGACAGTTAAGGGCCATAATTCAAATAAAATCTTTGACAGAATTACCTTCTCCTGGACATGTTTGGGAATCATGATTGTAAACAAGTATTCCAACTTTCAAATTAATATCTCAAACAGTTCAGTCAAAAAGTGGACTGGTACTAAAAACTTAACCAAGATTCTAAGTCGATAAAAGGCCTTAATTTTTAAAACAAAACCTTGACAGAGTTACCTTCTCTTGCGTACAGATGGGGGTAATGATGTGAAATAGCATTAAAAGTTTCAAAGCAATATCTCAAAGGGTTAAGGCAATAAGTGGATTTTACCCATATTCAATGTATTTTCTAAGTCAAAAAGGGGCATAATTCTGTCAAAAACCTTGACAGAGTTATGTCCTCTTGCCTGTTGATGAAGGTCGTGATGGTAAACAAGTATGGTCAGTTTCAAAGCAATACCTCCAATGGTTTTGAAATAAAGTGAGGTGGTACAAAAAACTTAACCAAGCTCAATACACTTTCTAAGTCAAAAAAGGGCCATAATTCTGTCAAAAACCTTGACAGAGTTATGTACTCTTGTCTGTAGATGGAGGTTATGATGGTGAACAAGTATGGTAAGTTTCAAAGCCATACTTGTAATACTTCTGAAATAAAGTGGGGTGGTACGAAAAACTTAACCAAGGTGTGACGCCAACGCCGACGCCGACGCCGGGGCAAGTAGGATAGCTCCCCTTTTCATAGAAAAGTCGAGCTAAAAACTGGCGACCAATTACCCTTTTAAATGTTGTTTATAAATTAGCGTCAGGATCAATAGCCAATAGGTTAAAAACAGTTTTAGACTCATTAATTTCTTCTGATCAAACTGGTTTTATAAAAGGTAGATTTATTGGTGAGAACATACGTTTATTATATGATGTCATGAATTACACAGAAAAACATAAGATTCCTGGAATGCTATTGATGATAGATTTTGAAAAAGCTTTTGATACCTTGTCTTTTAATTTCATAAAAAACACACTCTCTTTCTTCAATTTTGGTCCAATGTTTAAACAATGGATATCTCTTTTTATGAAAAATGTAAAAACAGCTGTACAGTTAAATGGATTTCTCTCTGACTTCTTCGAAATAGGGAGAGGCTGTCGTCAAGGAGACCCCATAAGTCCGTATATCTTTAATTTGTGTGCTGAAATACTAGCAATTAAGATAAGAAACTCTAAAGATATTAAAGGAATCAATATAAATGATGTGGAATATAAAGTATCTCAGTTCGCTGATGACACTTCTCTTTTATTAGATGGTTCAGAAGCTTCTTTGAATAACACCTTAGATACCCTCTATACATTTTCTAAATATTCTGGACTTAAGGTAAATTTTGAAAAAACACATGTTATATGGATAGGCTTACACAAATATAGTACTAGATCTATTAAAACAAAGTGGAAACTAAACTGGGGTGGCAGAGCTTTTAAATTGCTCGGTATAAATTTTCATGTAGATTTAGAAAAAATGGTAGATATTAATTTCACAGAAAAATTTAAGAAAATAGAAAATTGCATAAAGTATTGGAATAGGAGGGAGTTAACTCCTATTGGTAGAATTACAGTTGTTAAGTCTATTATATTACCACTTCTAACACAGTTGTTTATGTCTCTTCCAAACCCAAGTACACAAATACTCAAAGATATTAATAAAATGTTTTATGAATTTGTTTGGGGTGGCCCATCAAAAATTAAATCTAGTGTTTTAATAAAAAACTACAGGGAAGGTGGTTTAAAAATGATTGATGTATTTGCATATATGAAAAGTTTGAAATTAACATGGTTTAGAAGACTTCTCACTGGAAGTGGTAAAAAATGTTTCACATTTATTAGTAACATTTTTAATTATGACAAAGTTTTTAACTGTGGAAAGTGTTATGTAGAAATTGAATCTAAATCAATGTACAATTACTTTTGGAAAGATGTTTTGTTAGCATTTATTGACTATATAGATATTGTGAAAATAACAGATATAGACCAGTTTGTTAATTGTCCATTGTTTTACAATAATAATATTTTGATAGATAGAAAGCCTGTGTATGTTAAATCAATGTATGAAAATGGAGTGTTTTTTATCAAAGATATTATGCAAAAAAATGGAAATTTTGTGAGTAAAGAAAATTTAGAAACAAAAATTGGTACAAATATGAATTTTTTAGTTTATGAAGGTTTGAAAAGTGCTATTAGAAAGTACATAAAGTCTCTAAAAATAGAATATTCTAATACCAATGTATTATTGCCGTCTATTCCCTTTTATATAAAACATATATTTTTATGTAGAAGTGGAACCTCTACCATATATAATGTATTTATTGATAATTGTCAAATACCTACATGTATATCAAAATGGAATGCTTATTTTAACATTGATGATACTGAGTGGAAATACCTGTTTGAATGGGTTCACACTGAAACTAATGATAGTTACCTTCAATGGCTTCAAACTAGAATCACCCATAGAATTCTAGGAACAAACTATTTAATGTATAAAATGAAATTGACACAATCTGATAAATGCACTTTCTGCAAAGAAGAAAAAGAGACATTATCTCATTTATTCTGGAATTGTTCGGTTATAAAAACTTTTATCTCAGATGTGCAACATTTGCTTAAATGTCATAATGTTGATTGGAAGGTTGATTGTAAAACATTTATTTTAGGGTATCAAAAAGGTGACCAATGTCAATTTAATATTTTTTGTCTAGAATTAAAAAGATATATATTCTTGTGCAAGAGGAGGGAGATAATACCATCTTTACAAGGCCTTGTCTGCAGTTTAAAGCTAGCATCTTCAATAGTTAGTTATACAAAAGTTAAAAAATCTATGTACTCATTAGTTGATATGATAGCAAATAGATAGAACCTTTTTTGAATTAACTACTTATATATTACAGTCTGTGTATATTATATCCAGTTTTAGTGGAAATGAAATACTCTGAATCCCAAGAGAACATTTATCTTCTGTGTATTGTATGTATTATAAAATAATGTATGATATAAATGCCCGTTATATGTTTTTGTAATATTATAATAAATTGTAAGGTAAAATAGTGGATAGATCCCCGACCCTATTTTACCTATTACGGGGACAATAAACGGAGTTACCTCTTGGGCTTCAAAAAAAAAAAAAAAAAAAAAAAACAAGCATTTGATAGTATTGCGGGCAATACAGTAGTCCCCTACCGGTCCCTCAAAAAGTTCTTTAATTGTCATACACTCCTGTGTATTGCCATTTATAATGAATTTGAGGATGAAGTCTGTATTTGAAAATATCGACCACAAAACATAATAAAACAAGTTTCATAAAAATATTTCCAGTACTTTTTGAGTTATCACTGGATTCCGTTTATGTGTAAAATTTGCCATATTTTCAGTCTATGTGTTGCCATAGCAACCAGAATTTTCGACATAGGAAGAAAAGAAAAAAACGTGCATAATTTCAAGACTGCCATCTACCCATATGTCAAGTTTCATAAAAATATTTCCAGTACTTTTTGCATTATCACTGGATCCAGTTTATGTGTAAAATTTGCCATATTTTCAGCCTATTTGTTGCCATAGCAACCAGAATTTTCAACATAGGAAGAAAAGAAAAAGACGTGCATAATCTCAAGACTGCCATCTACCCATATGTAAAGTTTCATAAAAATATTTCCAGTACTTTTTGCGTTATCACTGGATCCAGTTTATGTGTAAAATTTGCCATATTTTCAGCCTATTTGTTGCCATAGCAACCAGAATTTTCAACATAGGAAGAAAAGAAAAAGACGTGCATAATCTCCATACTGCCATCTATCCATATACCAAGTTTCATAAAAATATTTTCAGTACTTTTCAAGTTATCGCGGGATCCAGTTTTGCGGACGGACGGACTGACGGACTGACAGACAGACGGACAGACGGACGGACAGACGGACAGACGGACGGAGGGTAAACCTAAAGTCCCCTCCGGTAAACCGGTAGGGGACTAAAAAAAAAAATAATATAGGACAAATTCCCTGTTTACTTCATCTTTATTCTTGCATATATCACTATATGTTAATTTATTTAACATGTTGCCCATCTTTCATTTGGTAAATCATTCAGATAACTAAAGTAGTTAAAAAATCTTTGTCACCAGTTAACATCTGGAAATTATAAATATTAATCATCATTAAGATTTTACTTCTTTGCTTTTTGGTTCTTCTAATTTTATTGTATTTTTTTTGCCAAGTTAAAAAAGACGGATAAAAAATATGTCTCATTGAGATATGACATATTTTCACATTGGTGGGAGACAAAATCCTTATATATACATTTCTATTTATGCTGCTGAACTTGACCAGTTAAGAACATGGAACTGTCTGTTAATCCTTCAGTGATTACAATATCAAACTTGTGTATCATACAACATATAGACTAATGAGAATGAATAAATGTCGTCTGGTTATATACTGATTATATAATTTATGATCCTCCTTTTTTGTTTCTAGTATTTACACAGAATTTTACACATATTTGCCAAGTATGTCTGAGGTAGATCCACCGAACTAACTTTCCTGGATACCTAAGCAGTAATAACCAACTTCTTCCACAACTGACCAACAACTTATCCCACATCTGAATCAGTGATGAGAGACAATTGACCATTAAACTCAATATACAAGGTCGTCACAAAGGATTAACACCTCACCTGAAGATTGAACAAGTGTCCTCTTGATCACAAACTCAATGCTCAATCAGAAGATGTATTGGCATGGAGAATTCTTGCATTAAAGTACTACTTACATCACCAATCATAACACACTGTTCTGGTAGAACGTCTAATTCTGCTACAGCTGATAAGAAGAAAGATGACTCAGGTTTACCAACAACCTCTGCTTGTATACCAGCTGAATATTCTAGTGCTGTAACAAATCCACCTGAAATTACAATTATATTGCTTCAAGTCAGTCATAAAATACACTTTGTTTTGTTTGATTAATAAATATGCACAATAGAGGCTAGCTATCTTTGGTTTGAAACAAATATTTAACAGATGATAAGAGTAATTATGTTGTGATTTTTAATTATGCATACTCATTATCAATGTTTACAGTAACAGAAGGTGTCTTCCAAACCGTGACAGTATCTTTAACTTGACATTAACAGAAACACAGATAGAACAAGATTGCATTTGAGAAAAATGCTATGCCATCGCATGGCTCAAATTTCATAGCTGTACATCAAAGGACAAGAAAGTAGGTCACATCATCAAAATCTAGGTCAAAGTTCAATTTTACAACTAAAACTGTGCACATGGTCAAAATGTCATTGCTGTACATCAAAGGACAAGAAAGTAGGTCACTGTCCCCTTGGGGGTTTAATTGCAATCTTGATACAGGTCCATCAAACAAAATTTAAAGTCAAATATCTAAGTTATAGCTTTCTCCCATTCAGAAAATATTTGTTTTATTTTCTGTTTTTACTACTTGTACATAATGAGAATCACTGCCCCCGGGCAGGGCCAATTTTTGACATTTGAACAACTTTGGTAGAGGACCTATAGATAATATCATATATCAAACATCAAAGCTCTATGCCTTGAACCTTCAGACAAATATTTTTTTTTTCACTATATGTACATAATGAAAATCAATGACCCCCGGGGCTGAACCAATTTTGACCCCAGGGCTATAATTTGAACAATCTTGCTAGAGGTTCACTACACAATGTTTCATGCAAAATATCTTAACTCTATCCTTTGTAAATTTAGAGAAGATGATTTTTTAAGTTTTAACTATATACATATAAGATATACCTATGGCTCCCAAGGGCGGGGCTAATTTTGACACAAGAGGCAAAATTTGAACCACTTTGGTAGAGTACCTTTAGATGATATTATTTAACAAATATTAAAGCTCTTAGCCTTGTACCGTCAGATAATAACATTTTTTTATTTTTTACTATATGTATATATTGAAATCAATGACCCCCAGGGCGGGGGCAATTTCGACCCCAAGGCTATAATTTAAACAATCTTGCTAGAGGTTTACAACACAATGTTTCATGCAAAATATCTAACCTCTAGCATTTGTCAATTGCTAGAAGAATTTTTTTTAAAGTTTTTACTATATACATATAAGGAAAACCAATGACCCCTGGGGCGGGGCCGATTTTGACCCCAAGGCTATAATTTGAATAATCTGGGTAGAGGTCTACCAGACAATGCCTTATGCAAAATATCTAAGCTCTAGGCCTTTTGGGTCTTTACCAGAAGGTGTTTTAAATTTTTACTATTTGTACATATAGTGAAAATCAATGACCCCGGGGCGGGGCCGATTTTGACCCAAGGGCTATAATTTGAACAATCGTGGTAAGGGTCTACCAGATGATGCCTTATGCAAAATATCTAAGCTCTAGGCCTTTTGGGTTTTTACAAGAAGGTATTTTAAGTTTTTACTATATGTACATATAGTGAAAATCAATGACCCCCGGGGCGGGGCCGATTTTGACCCAAGGGCTTAATTTGAACAATCTGGGTAGAGGTCTACCAGACAATGCCTTATGCAAAATATCTTAGCTCTAGGCCTTTTGGGTCTTTACAAGAAGGTGTTTTAAGTTTTTACTATATGTACATATAGTGAAAATCAATGACCCCGGGGCGGGGCCAATTTTGACCCCAGGGCTATAATTTGAACAATCTTGTTAGAGGTCTACCAGACAATGCCTTATGCAAAATATCTAAGCTCTAGGCCTTTTGGGTCTTTACAAGAAGATTTTTTAAATTCATTCTTATAATTCCTTTTGGTTGCCATGGCAACCAGATTTCTGCATGGAATGAAATTCTTTGAACAACTTTGGAAGCCCTTCACCCAAGGAACAATCCTGCCAAGTTTGGTTGAAATTGGACTACTGGTTTTCACAAGAAGATTTTTTAAGTTCACTATATAATCTATATAACTCACACACACACACACATACACACAGGTGAATCGCTATATGCCACCGCATCGCAGATGCTGCGGTGGCATAAAAATAAGTTAAAGTGTACATACATTGTCTCAGTACTTACTGAACTACATGTATGTGACTTTCAATATAAATGAGTCAATCCATTGATATCAAGATATCCCAGGATTTCTTACTTGGCAGTATTTTCTAATCTATCTGACTCTATTGATACTGATGATGACAAATATTCAAATTTTGTATGACATGCATTTTTATCATCTTTCAAGTTTTAATGAATATGAGAGAGAATGACTAAATTTACCATGGTACCTGGACCTAAGGCAAGCCCATCTTTTGTCTTGTAGTATCTGGCTTTATGTATTGCAACTAGAGGAGCCCCATTGAGAACAAGCCTTAAACAGAGATAGAAATACAAATCAGCAAAATATATAATACTTTGTAAATTTGATATTCTGAATAGGAACAGAGAACCCAAAGTCTACTTGTTAATGTGTCTGTCTTTCAACCATGAGGTCATGAGTTTAAGATCAACAAGTGTCATTTCCATGTTTTCTCATATCTTATCAGTATTGATTAGTTACAGCAAGTCAACTTAAATATTATTAATGTAATTTACAAGAACTTGTCTTAAAAATCAATCTTCTGTATAAAATCGTTTTAAAATCCCATGATGCATGACAGAGTTATAGACCCTGACTGTTGACCTTTAATCTCTAAGTGAAAGCTTAACCATGGAGCTAGGGGGTTTAGCTTTTTGCATGACAACCCACTCATCATGCTCACACTTGCTCCAAGTTACTTCTAAATCCCAAAGTAAATGTCAGAATTTTAGGCCTGACAGGATTTACTAATTGCTAACCTTTGACTTCTAAGTGAGACGTTGAACTTAAAACTACCAGTCTAGTCTTGGGCATGACACCCCTTTCCTCATACTTAACATTAGTGCCAATTTCTTTTCAAAATCCCTTGATGCATGGCAGAGCTATGGATAGGACAAAATTGTTTAAACTGCTGACCTTTCTAAGTGTGACCTTGACCTTGGAGCTAGGGTGTAGGTCTTGCACATGACATCCATCACATCATGCTTCCCTTTAGGCCAATTTGTGTCAAAATCTGTTGATAAAGGCTGCACATTTTTTTCCAACTGCTGACCTTTGACGCCTAAGTGTGACTTTGACCTTGAAGTATGGGGTCTAGGTTTTGTGCATGACACACCATATCATCATGCTTTACATTTGTTATTTACTTTATTATTCCAAAATCTCTGGACACATGACAGAGTAATTGGCCCCTCAAGCTCTTCCAACTAACACAATTCATGCAAAAACATGAATGGGGTAACAATCTATGTCCCCTTGCCATTATAATTGAAGTTGGGCATAAAATATGCATAACTATGCAATTTAGTGCTTGCTGGCAGTGTAATTGTTAGGTCTGAATATAGTGTATATTCTAACACCAATTTAACAAATATTTAAACTATCTTGTCAACCTTATCTTTGATAACATCCCAATTTCTCCTAAAGTGACAGACTTGTAATACCACATGATTTCTGAATAAGCAGTGAGAGACAAATGACCATTAGACTCAATGTCAGGAATAAAATGTCATAAAATAAATTTTCCTCTCCTGAGGATCAAACTGTCAACCCCTGAATTACAAATCTCATGTTCTCATAATTGGGCTAAGCAGACAGACTGGTATATATCTAACTTTTCATAAATTCATTGCAAATTTGTGATCTTTTTATTTTCAATATTAATTATATAACATTGCCTGGTTTTAGACATTACAGACTGTAAGAGTTCTAGTTTTCCATTATTTCCACCCTTCCACTAAAGACCAAATCACATTTTAAACCTTAAAATAATGCCCTAGATGACTATAGTCATGCTAAGGTTATGATAATATCCCTTCCATCAAAAATACAAGAGTAAATGAGGACTAGTTTTTAAGTTTTAAGGTTATAATATATCTTATTGTTAAAAAAAAATGGCAACAGTGATATACCTGAATGCTTCATTCATCTTGTTGTAATTAAATTTGTCAGGAGCAAGTCCAATCAACACAGAGTCAAACTGATCTTGAGGTACTCCTTCAATATGGAAAAAAATCTATAATGTAAATAATTCATGCAAAACTCTGAATGCCATTTTAAGGTAAAGAGTTCACTGCATTTAATACAAGAACAGTATTTCCATTTCAATTGCTGTGAAACATATATTTCTTGTGCATTATGAAAGTCACCAAAACAAAGTTACATCACCAATGTATAAGACACATATCCTGCTAAAAAAGGACAACATGGACAAGTGTAAGCTAAGATAGTGGTAGAGCCATAAATGTGTAAGCTGGATGACTTCTTCCCATGAAAGAGCTCAAGTCACTCTAGCATTCAAATACAATGTAAAATACAATGTAATTATTTATGACCAAACTCACAAAGAAAATAAGCACCTACATGTACATCATATCATTACAAATGATGCATCAACATTATTATTTTTATGTGAACTCCATGTAGCTGTGAGTTCAATTCCTTTACAGGAATAGATTTTTCCTTGAATGTTAGAATAATGTTCATAAGAGTAATATAACAAATATCAGACAATATTGTACATATAACTTGCAACCTATGTATGATATAGAGCAATGTACTACAAATGTATCATTCACAATAAATCTTTCTAGAACACCATACATCAGCAACAACCACATTCTTTGTCTCTTAAAGAGTGTTGCTCACCAGCACACAATTGTATAAATATTGGTTAACGGTAACCACTGGGTTAGATTCTTGGTTAAGTTAACTTCTGATTTAACTTTTGGTTAACAGATTGTAAAAATTTTAGTTTAATTTAACCAGTGAAAATATCGTGTAGGTGGGTTCAATTTTAACCAAACTTTAACCAGAAATAAAATGGCTGCAGATTGTTTGCTTCATCTCAACTTTTGTTCATATTTGCTTCAAAATAGACTATCATTGGTTTTATTTGATGGCAAGGATATTTCGCAAAGACTTTAAGTAACATAGTGTTGGGAACTAGTACATGTAGTACAAAACTTTACCACAGAACTCTTCCAGTGCCCTGTCATCTAGTAACATCAGGGGAGACAACCTTCTTGTATCAATTATCTTTCTTGCTGCAGTTAGTGAAGTAAAGATTTCATTATTGTTGATATTAAAGCCAAGCTTTCTTAATCTCTCTAGTAGAAGTCTCTTTGATTCTTTTGTTGTATTTGTGACAAATTTAACTTTCAGATGACTATCTTTCAGTCTGAAATAAACATTTCCTTTCAATGTCAGCAGTTCTATGTTAAAAGTTTATCATTAATAATGATACTATAACATTTGTCACCCTTTAACATGTATTTTCTTTTAGCATAAGTTGTTAAAATAGTAACATACATATAATAAATATTTATGCAAGATGGTAATCAGTGAAACTCATTTTAAATAGTTTATTTTTACATGGAAGTATAAAATGAGTAAAAATCTTCAAGCAATCAACCCTAAACATGCTAAATATCATGAATGGACTTGTCCATCTTTCAATCTGGACTAAACCATTCATTATTTTTAGGGACCATTTCACTGAGAAGGGAACAGTACAGACCATGATAAGACAGGACAGATGCACTATGGGTAGATTCAAAAGTCACCAGAAAACTTTATCTTTCAATGAAATCAGACGTTATGCTCACTGTTTCCCATATTTATTTTCTTTTTCATTTGTTTAGATAATTGAATGATTATTAATCAGGCTTTCCTCATGACATTTATCCAAATTTCCTATTCATAAAATAACAATTCATCTCTGTTTCAAAACTTTTAATGAGTTGGTTAAAACAAACTGTCAAAATTGAATTAAATCTTCAGTAATTGTCAATTTGATTTGATCAAATGTTATGCAAGGAAAATTAAAAAGTATCGGCAACTTTTGTTAAACTCTATATTATACTACTTACAAGAGAACTTACATTATTAGATTTATAAAAATTCAAAAAAAATTACTTACGGTACTTTATTCATTTCAAAGTATAATTTTCAAACGTTCCTATTATTATTCAATATATTGAATATAAATGCACGAGAAACTGATTTATATAAGAATGATATCAAAACTATAGTCTATCAATATTAAATTCAATATCAAACTTTAGACCTGGAATCAAAAAGTCATTTACATGTATGAGCATGTCATTATAGGCCAAGTGACAAACCTCCTAATGAGTAAAATTTATCTTAAAAGTGGAGATGAAATAAAACAAGAGGGCCTTGATGGCCCTGGGGTCGCTCACCTGTACACAGGCCCCCAGGGCGGGGCCAGTTTAAACCAAAGGGCTTTTATTTGAACAAACTTGGAAGACACCCATTAGAAGATGTTTCATGATGTTAAGTTTTTATTATACACAAATAATGAAAAACAATGACTTTTGCCCCCATTCCCCCCTCCCCCTGGCAGGGCCAATTTTAACCCAAGGGCTTTTATTTGAACAAACTTGGTAGACAACCATTAAAACATGTTTCATGCTAAATATCTTAGCTCTAGCTCTTTGGGTTCTTTAAAAAAAGATTTTTAAGGTTTTAATTACTATATGCAATATAGGGAAAATCAATGACCCCCTATGGCGGGGCCAATTTTGACCCAAGGGCTTTTATTTGAACAAACTTGGTAAACATCCATTAGAACATGTTTCATGCTAAATATCTTAGCTCTAGCTCTTTGGGTTCTTTAATAGAAGATTTTTAAGTTTTTACTCTATGTATATAGGGAAAATCAATGACCCCTGGGGCGGGGCCAATTTTGACCCCAGGGCTTTTATTTGAACAAACTTGGTAATCACCCATTAGAAGATGTGTCATGCTAAATATCTTAGCTCTAGCTCTTTGGGTTCTTTAAAAGAAGATTTTTAAGTTTTTACTCTATGCATATAGGGAAAATCAAAGACCCCTGGGGCGGGGCCAATTTTGACCCCAGGGCTTTTATTTGAACAAACTTGGTAGACACCCATTAGAAGATGTTTCATGCTAAATATCTTAGGTCTAGCTCTTTGGGTTCTTTAAAAGAAATTTTTTTAAGTTTTTACTAAATGCATATAGGGAAAATCAATGACCCACCTGGGGCGGGGCCAATTTTGACCCCAGGGCTTTTATTTGAACAAACTTGGTAGACACTGATTAGAAGATGTTTCATGCTAAATATCTTAGCTCTAGCTCTTTGGGTTCTTTAAGAGAAAATTTTTTAAGTTTTTACTATATGCATTTAGGGAAAATCAATGACCCCCTGGGACGGGGCCAATTTTGACCCCAGAGCTTTTATTTGAACAATCTTGGTAGACATTCATTAGAACATGTTTCATGCCAAATATCTAAGCTCTAGCTCTTTGGGTTTTTTAGAGGAAGATTTTTTAAGTTTTTACTATATGCATATAGGGAAAATCAATGACCCCCTGGGGCGGGGCCAATTTTGACCCCAGGGCTTTTATTTGAACAATCTTGGTAGACACTCATTTGAACATGTTTCATGCTTAATATCTTAGGTCTAGCTCTTTGGGTTCTTTAAAAGAAGATTTTTTTCAGTTTTTACTATATACATATAGGGAAAATCAATGACCCCCTGGGGCGGGGCCAATTTTGACCCCAGGGCTTTTATTTGAACAACTTTGGTAGACACTGATTAGAAGATGTTTCATGCTAAATATCTTAGCTCTAGCTCTTTGGGTTCTTTAAGAGAATTTTTTTTAAGTTTTTACTATATGCATATAGGGAAAATCAATGACCCCCTGGGGCGGGGCCAATTTTGACCCCAGGGCTTTTATTTGAACAATCTTGGTAGACATCCATTAGAACATGTTTCATGCCAAATATCTAAGCTTTAGCTCTTTGGGTTTTTAAGAAAAAGATTTTTTAAATTTTTACTATATGCATATAGGGAAAATCAATGACCCCCTGGGGCGGGGCCAATTTTGACCCCAGGGCTTTTATTTGAACAATCTTGGTAGACACTCATTAGAAGATGTCTCATGCTTACTATCTTAGGTCTAGCTCTTTGGGTTCTTTAAAAGAAGATTTTTTTAAGTTTTTACTATATGCATATAGGGAAAATCAATGACCCCCTGGGGCGGGGCCAATTTTGACCCCAGGGCTTTTATTTGAACAATCTTGGTAGACACTCACTAGAAGATGTTTCATGCCAAATATCTAAGCTCTAGCTCTTTGGGTTTTTTAGAAGAAGATGTTTAAAGTTTTTTCTTTTGGTTGCCATGGCAACCCGAGTTCTGCATGGAATGGAATTCTTTGAACAACTTTGTTAAGGCTTCACACAAGGGTTACATCCCTGTGAAGTTTCATTATGATCTGCCTTATGGTTTCAGAGGAGATGTCGTTTGAAAAGTGTGAACGGACAACGGACGACGTACGACGGATGACAGACGACGGACGAAGAGTGATCCTAATAGCTCACCCTGAGCATATGCTCAGGTGAGCTAAAAACATGTACACATACCAATGTAGTTGAATAAGCTTAAGAAATGTATATATATTTACATTTCCAGGTGAAGCATTGAATATATAAATAAATGCATTACATTATTACAGATTATATCATTTTGTCTCCTAGTGTAGTAACAGGTTTACTTCTTATATAATACTATTAGAGTTAACACATTATTGCACTAAGGTGACAAACACATATATCATATTAATAGTTTTCAGAAACTGGGCAAAATTTAATGTGGATTTTTTCAAAATAGATCCCTACTCTGAGCTTTTATTCTACTCATTACAAGTATTTTATTACATTTATCATAAACATTTGGGCACTTTAAGAACTATGTAAATTTTTCATACCTCTGAACTGCATCTACTGCTCCACTGACCACCTTGTCATCTATATGTATTGTTCCACTAAGATCAACTAACACTGCACGTAACTGTTTTAATGCCATTCCCCCAAGTATTCTACATTCCCAATTCTCCGGAATTCTCTAAATTAGATTAGATAAGAATTTTAGCAACATACAAATCTTAAATATTCTACACATGTAAACATGGAATAGGACAATTTTCAAGTGTATTAAGCTATACCGGGCGTATCTGCTGCAAAAAATATTGTTTAAATTTATAAAAAAAAATACAACTTCGAAAATGCTTATATTTATAACAAGAAAAATATTACATACAATGATACATTTGTATATAATACAGGTACGATTGCATACTACTTTTTGTGAAGACTTTTTATGCTTGCTGCATTATAGGTGTAATGTAAAAATTAAATGATTAAACATGTCATGAGATATTTTATATCTTTAAACATTTTCATGGAATGTAATTAATGTATCATCATATTAATGTTGCATGCCTTCAGATGAGAAAAATGATTTCAAGGAAATCAAAATATGAAAAGAAAATTCATGGTCAATTGACTGCTTTAGAACAAAATCACAGAACAAAATTACAGGACATTAAAAACCTTTTTAATACACTAAAGGTAGAATTTCATTGTAAGTCATAGTCACAGGTTTGAGATATGATTATTTATTCATATTAACATCATTATTGGTTATATATTGATAAAAAACCCGAAAGACACAGTTTGTAAATATTTATTACAATAAAATATGAAAAAAGGTATTTTCCATCCTATGCGACGCCCCGAGGTTAGCTATATTTATAATTCCTGTGCTAAGTCACGGTGGTGCTTGGGATAATCACTTCATACTGTAAATGGCAGCCATTTTACGATATGAAAATGGCTGGCCCTCCTCGGACAGTTTTATAATCCTGCCGAAAAGATATGAAACAAGAGGGCCATGATGGCCCTGGGGTCGCTCACCTGTATATAGCCCCCCACCCCCATCCCCCCGGGCCAATTTTTACCCAAGGGCTTTTATTTGTTTATTTGAACAGACTAATAATGGTTTTCATGCTAAACATCTAAGTTCTAGCTCATTGGGTTTTTTAAAAGAAGATTTTTTAAGTTTTTACTATACACATATAGTTAAAAACATAATGACACCCCTCGGGCAGGGCCAGTTTTGACCCCTGGGCTTTTATTTGAACAAACTTTGTAGATATTTACTTAAAGATGTTTCATGCTTAATATCTAAACTCTAGTTATTTGGGTTTTTTCAAAGAAGATTTTTAAGTATTTGCTATGTATCTAAGGAAAATCAATGACCCCCGGGGCGGGGCCAGTTTTGACCCCAGGGCTTTTATTTGAACAAACTTGGTAGACACCCATTAGAACATGTCTCATGCTAAATATCTTAGCTCTAGCTCTTTGGGTTCTTTAAAAGAAGATTTTATAAGTTTTTACTATATGCATATAAAGGAATAGGGTATGTAAGTCTCGTCATGTGACTTGCGAGATTTCACGATATTTTGCACTTCCGGGTACAAACAAACATCAACAACATTGCTTATCTATATTGGGTAATACTTGTATGCCGATGGGAAAGTAAAACTTACATGGAAAAGCAAATGATATGTGGAAATTGGCAGAGTTTTTTGTTTTGTAACGAAATGGAAATGGTTTCATCTTGTGAACAAGTATCAATGAAAGACAGCTTCGTATAATCTTCAGGTGGGTGTGTCATTTCAAATTCAGTTTATCTCAATAAATGTTGTAATATTTTCATTTCCATGTAAATCTAATAAATTTGTATTTTGAAACAACATCATTCGCATCTGACACCAGACTGGTGAATTTGATTTTATCAATTTTCTATAGCGCTACCTGATTATCTCTCAGAAGTATATAATGTTTAGAAATTTCGGACAGCGCATATTTCGGATAAACGTTTCAATATGATTATCAGTGTGTTTTAGTTGAATATATTTTCTTCCAACTGAAAATATTATTTATTTATAATTATTATCTTTATAAAGCACAAACAGTCAATCTGTATATAACCAATTTAAATTGTCATAAAATTCAATGAAATATTTTGCTCCTGTATTCAGACTGAGGACAGTGGTGAGATGAAAGACGTGAACTGGTATCCGATGTAAATACACATGCATGCTCTGCTGAAAATCTTTTTGGTAAGAAATATATACTTCAAGCTACTTAAACTACATTAATGAAAAATAAATATTACTATATTACATATATAATGTTCTCGTTTTTGTAAATAATTACAGTGTAGCTAATTAAACAAACAGTATGGTATATGTAGTTAATTCATGTTAAATACTGTTTAAAGTGTTTTTCTCAAGTGATTGGATCATATTTTTTAGTTAAACTAGGACACCAAGAAGTGTTTCTTCCTTTTCAACATTATTTTCTATTCATGACAATATGAAAATGCTTGGAATTTATAGCTGACCAATTATTATTGCTTTCAACTCATGATAAATTTTCTTTATATACAGGTATGTGATTTCTTGGTTGGATCTTGAGTACTTGTCATGGCTCTTGATTTATTTTGGAGTGTTCACCATCAGATTAGAAGTCAAATAGTGATACCACCAGGCATAGTTGAAAGGAAATGTCCATACACAGTCTTGGAGTACATAGTGGTAGAGACATGGCAGTCCATTACAGATTTTGACTGAATCAAAGCTTCTTAAAGCTCCATGTCTTGTGTAAACTGTCTGACTGAATGTTTGTATTCTAATAAAAACTAAGGTTGAAGACACTTCAAAGATATATGTCAGTGTAAAAATGTTAAACAAAATATCTGTCTTTGTTAGAAATAAATAACCTGTCTTTATTAGAAATAATTAACTGGTCATTTGTAACTTTGTATTAACTTAATTATTCAAAGATAATTTATCTTCTGCAAATGGCTGCCCAAAACAGTTTCAACCAGGCATCATGTAGTTTCAAAACAGTTAAGATAAATTTGTTATAAATAGACTTGTAAAGTAACAGGAATGGTAAAAAGATAAATGTTCAGCATTAAAATGTTTCTATCTTGATTGAGTTTTATTTCATATTATCACCATGATCACTGCAATTGTAAAAGAAATGTAATCTTTAACCATTATTTAAATATCATAAAAATCATCTCAAAGAAAAACTTGTTTCTGAGGCAAGATGTGTAAAATTCCTTCCAGTTATAGCCTTTCACTGCTCTAAGAAAAGCCATGATTTGCATTGTACATGGCAGGTAGTAATACCGGAGTAAACAATATTAATGCAATTCATCTGTGTTGAGTATTCTGTAGCAAAACACTAGCTTGCTAGCCCTTGTAAGCCCAAGTCTCTCTCTTAATTGGAGGAGACTTGCAATTCTGCATTCCTTGAAGATTTTATTATCAGAGGGGTAGTTATTACATACCATATACTTCTTTGGGTTTCAAATTACCTGTTTTATAATGTATTGAACCTGTTGACATTTGACCAAAAGTGAATTATCTATACAATACATGAAAAACTTAGGGTTTGCACTTGATACAAAACAATTACATCACTGATACATTAATATACCCAATTGGAACTGTTTCAAAATTGTCAATGTTTCAAAAAACAAACAAACAAAAAACACCACACAATGCTTTTAACTTCTGTCCATGTACATATGTGTAAATGTAGTCATTGAAGAGCTGTCAAGAACTTTTCATCAATATTATTTAGATTGTGTCTGTTTCGATTTCAGGACAGACAAAATTCAAATGACATGCATAGTATTTAATATAGTCAATGCTTGCATATTCAAGCAATCTAGCCATTGCTGTTAGAGAATTAAAGTACACAGTGACACTTATTTTGCAGATGAACTCTTATGATCAAGCACTGCTATAAATATATGCCAAATAGTAGAAACAAAAAACAGTTCATAAGTTTAATAAACTTTTATTTTTAAACAATTTATAGTGCACTGCTTAGCATATATATCACACTGACTTTCCAGTGGCAGAAAAACTTCAGGAAATCTCTTGGATTTATTATTAGTTATTTGGACAATGTAACTTTACACTGTGAATGTCTACTGATACAAGAATAAGAATATTTCCTTTTACAAATGTAAAGACTTAGAAAATTAATATGAACAAATTATCATAGAGTTATAAATCATATTCTAATTGAAAAATGTTCAGCTTGATATCAAAGCTTTGAATGCAAATTTGTGAGCTTATCAATGATTACCTCACAATATTAGTAGTAGATGATATATAATATTTTTGCTAATCTTTACTTCATAGTCATTTAATGTCCATAATGTCATATGACTATACTGTGATTCCATGAAAAACCTTATCTCTGGTGTGTTATCAGCTTTGGTATATATAGAGTATCTAGTTTTAATACTTAAAACTGCAATTAAATGTGGATATTTTACTCTGTTTCTATCATTGTGACATTAACATGTTCATAGTGTCAAACACCATAAAATCATACTATTTATACATTAAGATTTTTGTGCTGGATGTCATTCATCTTCTTCAGGAAAGTACATTTGACTATTCTCAGTGGCTTATATTAAACTAATATTTCACTGTAACTGTGTGTTCTCTGATATCATTCTCAAATTAAGGAACTGGAAGATGGTAGTTGCAATAAAGGTCTTCATGGACAAATCCTCCTTCATCTTTTCCCTTTTTATCTACAGAATGAAAGATCAATAAATATGGTGTTACAAGTGTAAGACACTAGAAATGATATTTACATTACATTTAATAAGCTGGTCATGATTGACAGAAAAATTTCATATTTGAAGTAAATAAACATTAAAGATAAACAACAACACATAATATATAACAGTCAATTTTAATGCTTTATTTACTTATCAATTATCATGCAGTGAAATCCAAGTTATTAATATATTTGGATAATTGTTTATCTTTCCAATCTCAACTAAAAATTAATCAATTATTTTACATGTATTTACCTTTGATGTATAGATATTTCAGGATCATAGGCAGTGCAAACAGTTGATTAATGGTCCATATTGAACAACTGTATATTCTATACTTGTCATATACCTCCTTGTCTATACATCTGAAATGGTTTAATCAAGTATAATATTTTTTAAATCAATCATAATTTGCTAGGTACCATATTAACATGTATATATAACTGAAAAAGGAACAAGAATAAAATGGAAGGGAAAAATATCCGAATTACTGTGCAATGTCCGAATTTTGTATAACTTTAATATACACTAGAATTAAAATGTTTCTGCATTGTTTATTTCAACAAGTTAAAATGGTTTGAATTAATTTCTCACATCAGTAGTTTTAAAACAATACTAAAAGCTAAACAACTAGAATTCACTACCTTGACAAAACATCCGAAACAATTGTCACTATCCGAAAATAAACTAGTTTTATTAAACTCTATAAATCCCTCGTTTTTCCGTCAGATAATTGACCTACCTGCATTTGTTTGACCCGTGCTATCCATTCCTTCAAATCTGAAGAGGACCGAAACAAATTTAACTTCTATACCCCTCGAGTTCTTCGGGTTACCTATATGCGTAACGGTAAATAAGTCTGCCGATGTACCCGGAAGTGGTAAATCGAAAGTGAAAGTAAACCAGACTTACGGGCCCTATATGAATGACCCCCTGGGGCGTGGCCAATTTTGACCCCAGGGCTTTTATTTGAACAAACTTGGTAGACATTCACTAGAAGATGTTTCATGATAAATATCTAAGCTCTAGCTCTTACGATTCTTTAAAAGAAAATTTTTTAAGTTTTTACAATATGCATATAGGGAAAATCAATGACCCCCGGGGCGGGGCCAATTTTGACCCCAGGGCTTTTATTTGAACAAACTTGGTAGACATTCACTAGAAGATGTTTCATGCCAAATATCTTAGCTCTAGTTCTTACAGTTCTTTAAAAGAAGATTCTTTAAGTTTTTACTTTATGCATATAGGGAAAATCACTGACCCCCTGGGGCGGGGCCAATTTTGATCCCAGGGCTTTTATTTGAACAAACTTGGTAGACATTTGCCAGAAGATGTTTCATGCCAAATATCTAAGCTCTAGCTCTTACAGTTCTTTAAAAGAAGATTTTTTAAGTTTTTACTATATGCATATAGGGAAAATCAATGCCCCCCTGGGGCGGGGCCAATTTTAACCCCAGGGCTTTTATTTGAACAAACTTGGTAGACATTCAGTAGAAGATGTTTTATGCCAAATATCTAAGCTCTAGCTCTTACGGTTCTTTAAAAGAAGGATTTTTTAAGTTTTTACTATATGCATATAGGGAAAATCACTTACCCCCCAGGTAGGGGCCAATTTTGACCCCAGGGCTTTTATTTGAACAAACTTTGTAGACATTCACTAGAAGATGTTTCATGCCAATTATCTAAGCTCTAGCTCTTTGGGTTCTTTAAAAGAAGATTTTTTAATTTTTTACTTTATGCATATAAGGAAAATCAATGACCCCCTGGGGCGGGGCCAATTTTGACCCCAGGGCTTTTATTTGAACAAACTTGGTAGACACTCACTAGAAGATGTTCCATGCCAAATATCTTAGCTCTAGCTCTTACAGTTCTTTAAAAGAAGATTTTTTAAGTTTTTACTATATGCATATAGGGAAAATCAATGACCCCCCGGGGCGGGGCCAATTTTGACTCCAGGGCTTTTATTTGAACAAACTTGGTAGACACTCATTAGAAGATGTTTCATGCCAAATATCTAAGCTCTAACTCTTAAGGTTGTTTAAAAGAAGATATTTAAAGATTTTTCTTTCGGTTGCCATGGCAACCAGAGTTCTGCATGGAATTAAATTCTTTGAACAATTTTTAAAGGTGACCACCAAAGGAACATTCCTGTGACGTTTGGATGAAATTGGCTCAGTGGTTTATGAGGAGATGGCTCAGTGGTTTATGAGGAGATGTCTTTTAAAGCAAAAGTTTACGGACGGACGACGGACGGACGGACGGACGCCGGACGAAAAGCGACAACAAAAGCTCACCCTGTCACTTTGTGACAGGTGAGCTAAAAAAGGATTGGAGCAATGATACAATGATATTTTCTTAAATACACCCGTTAACTGGCTGCAAGTGCAAGTCAAACAATTGGTTGCGGTAATCTAGTATCCTATGAAAGATAACTGCAAAATGAACATGAAAGCAAACTGAAATTAAATCTGTCACCTAAATTCCTAATTATGTCCATTTGTTTGAGGGAGGATTCGAGCTGTACCTCTAGACGCTTGCAGAAATCATGATCACAAAATAGACAAATATCGTTTTTTTTCGCCGATTTTTACATCTTTCATTCATTACATCATATATAATTCGATGTGAAAAGATGAATTAGACCTATTTCAGTTCATTCCGTTGGTTAAAAAGGCAAGATTTTAGCATTTTATGATTCAAGCGCCTTGACCGGTATATACCGGAATACGGTATTTAGTGTGATGCTCTAATCCTTTTGGATTTAGCTCAATACAGGATTGGAGCAGTACCTCTAGACGCTTGCAGAAATCATGATCACAAAATAGACAAATATCGTTTTTTTCGCCGAATTTTACATTTTTCCTTGATTATCGTACTTGATTCGGTGTGAAAAGATGAATTAGACCTGTTAAAGTTCATTCCGTTGGGTAAAAAGACAAGATTTTAGCATTTTATCATTCAAGCGCCTTGTCCGGTATATACCGGAAATCGGTATTTAGTGTGGTGCTCCAATCCTTTTTTTAGTCTCACTCCTTTTTTTAGTCTCAGGTCAGACACTCACATTGATATTTCCATAGACTTACATTATAAATAAGGGGGCAGGGGACCTAAAAATGAACAATTTTGTATTTCAGTGTGACCAGAAACACAATTCCAAATATTTCAAACTCTGTTTCACATGCAGATAACCAGTTGCACAGCATTATTCAATGATATATGACATACATTGAAGAAATAATAGTTTGCATGCATTGCTCCTTCAAAAAATGACTGACAGCAATTTATATTTACCCCCACCCAGCCAAAATCACACCTAAAATATACCAATATGCGCAATCTTCATGTAGGTGCAGCATACTCCAGAATCCGCCCGATTCCTTTAAAAATATCAGTTACACGCAGTGCAAGCTATATGGGATTTTCAGAAATGACCAATAAAGTGTCTGTCATACGTTGAGATTTTTCACAAAATTTATCTGAAATTTCTTACTTGTTTGGCGCCAACTGTCAAAGCTTGATTTTTAACTTTTTCACCTCCATTCGGAGAGTCAGAAATACATATAAAGCGACCAATTAGAATGCTTAGTTTCAGGTAAAAACCCAAAAATACTTCTCATTTCCTACACACAAACAAGAAAGAATTACATGTACAGTGACAGAGAAATATCAGAAGTTATCAGTAACTTCAAAACACCATGTCTGAGTTATAAAAAAATTTGACCGGGGCCATCATTCGAATATGTCCCCTGCCCCCTAAGAAATGGTCCCTTATCCTACCTTTAAATTGAGTTTTCATGCTAAAGTGGTATTTTTTTCTAGCAGAATGATATGCCTGACACATAAAAATGTTCCTGTTATATAGGGGTAGCCAACCATTTTTTTGCAAAATGACTTCAAAGAGGATTATCCCCCATTTCATTGAAATTTTTTGCTGATCACAGGACTGACATACACTCTTTATAAATGCAAATATCCAAGTCAAAATTATCACAGAGAATCATGAAATATTTCATTTTCTTCAGAAAACAATGTAGTGTTACTTTTTTAATTAGTTTTTATGCTTAAAAATACCCCACTTTCATCCATTCTCCTCATGTATAAATTGACTCATACGGTTTTCCTTGCACTTTTTTTCAGCCAATTGCTGGCCACGTTACAATGCGATTCCCTGACCTCAGAAGTGCGCAGGGGACCAGTCTAGCTAAACTACAGGATTAGGTTACTCTCTCTCCCCTTACAGGATTAGGTTACTGTCCGTAGCGTAACTGGTGCGCGGAGTTTGTGATACCGTAATCTGGTTCCTATTTTCAACATTGTTTTCTTTTTAAGAAAATGATTAAATAGGCCTACCATTTTTTTTTAATAATTCCGAGCAAAAAATAAAAATTTAGGTAACAAACAAGTTTACAAAATATCTCTATTTATTATGGCAGTTTCTACTACGAATATTTTAATTGTGCAGATTTTCAGTATAAACAATTTATTGTTTGTAAAATTTGACCTAGATATTAAAGAAACATTGATAATTTTCAAACACATCATTCAAGTTTTTCCATCTTAAACGTAAACTAATTATAGAAAATAATTTAAGAAATGTCACATAATAGTTTTTGTTCTTAATAATGTGTAATTTGGACGAATCTTAATTATGTGTAATTCGGACTAATTCACTAGAGGTAAATCCGTAACGTACCGGCAAACGGTATTTAGCCAGGTTTTCGAAAAAGGCAATTAACCAATCATGTACGGTTTACAGATCACATGCTCCTCCATGTACCGAAAACAGGTCACGTGCTCCTCTATGCCTAAAAAGTACCCTGCGGTCTTCAGCAGGGAATCATATTTATCATCACATATCAAATACAGTAAAACCGTGTATTGTAATGAAATCTATTAATAGTAACAAATTGCTGATAAGACATACAGAAAACTTGTGGATGGTTGGCAAAAACATGGTGGCAAATATATTTTTAATAACAAACTTATTTGTTATGAAACAGCTTTATATTTTATATCATTAGAAAGGTCTTTAAACTCATATTTTACAAATTAAAAAATAAATTTTAAATGAATTTCGTTAGTTGCCAAATTTCCAGACATGTAAAGTGTTTCTTTTGAAAACTACTTTTGAAAATGCAAACGTGAATGTTTAGCATTTTTAATTGTATTCGTGCATAGCAAATGATATGCCTCTTAATTCAATCTTTTAATAATATTGAAGGCACCCGCTTTTAAATCTTAATAACTGACTTAACATGGAAAACAATAACAAATTTACAAGCTTGTATCTTCTATTGCATATAATACAAATGCAACTTTGCACACTTATAGATATCTATATCTGTACCTGAGATATATAAAAATGTTGGTGTGAAATGAAAGAATCCTTCAAGAAGTTTCTAGTGATGCATTAAAACATCTCTCTCTCTCTCTCTCTCTCTCTCTCTCTCTCTCTCTCTCTCTCTCTCTCTCTCTCTCCCCCTCTCTCTCTCTCTCTCCCTCCCTCTCTCTCTCTCTCTCTCTCTCTCTCTCTCTCTCTCTCTCTCTCTCTCTTACAACATATTGTCGATACTGAAGTTATTTAAATTTACTGTTAAACCTACTACAAGTCAGACCATTTACATACGTTTTATACAGTGAGATACGCAAAAGTTATCTTTACTCGCAATTCTACTGTCGTCTGCTAGTTGCAAACTGTCAATCCGTGCATTCTGCCAAGGGAGGAAATCGCTGTTAGGAGTTTGGATAGAGGGCGCTCTACCGGAAGTAAATATTTTAGTCGAGAAAGAAAAGAAAATCTAAAATAATGCATGGATTTGAAAGAAATCTTCTTCTTCTTCTTCCAATACTGTACATAACCCACTCTGGGGCATTAAGAAATGAAGCTGGGTAAAATATATTTGCAAATTTCAATGATAAGACCGAAGTCAACTGTGATATACATTGAAATATGCACAAAATATGTTCAGTGTCAAGATTTGGGTGGGGTAAAGTTTTAAAAATATGTTCCATTTTGATAGGTATGTCGAACATAGTCAGTGTACTCTGTGACTAATTAATATGAATTAAGTAAAGACTCAAAGTGAGCTTATTGACAAAAGTTATAGAACAGTTTAAGGTGATTCTGCTTTGTCAGCACAAAGTCTGTCCAAAGTGAAAGTATGCCAAAATTCAAGTAACAAAAAAGATTACAATGTAAAATGGTGAACCATTTGAAAGTACACTAGCTTCCAGGTCTATGCTTTAAAGACCTGTTTTAAACATACAATTGTTTTTTATCAATATGCATGCAACATTTAAAAAAAAGAAAATGAAAAATGAATAAAGAAAACAAAAATATGAGGCGGATCTGACTTGAGGCCGATTTCTCTTGAGGCCGAATTGACTATTTTGGGGCCGATTTTACTTAGAGCCGATATGACTTTGGGCCGATTTGACTGTAAATCTTCCCATAGAAGAACACCAGCGTCCACTCTATACATCCATTTTCAATTACTTAGAATTCCTCTGCCTTTATACCTGCCTTGTAATTTGAAAAGTTTCGATTAATCAGTTACCCATAATTTTGTATTTCCTCCGGTGAAAGTTTCCAAAACCATAATTATTTAGCAGACCTGTAATCGCGCTACCGTAAAGCTGGCTTTGCGAGCAGTACTGGTCTTTCGGGCAAGCTCCTCAGGCTCGTTATTACCATTAAAATATCAAGATATGAATCTTAAATTCTTGAGATGAAAAGTATCTGACAAGCAAACAAACGTTTAGTCCTACAAATGATTGTTGCTTTGAGAAATAAAAAAATGAGATATTTTTAATTCTTGGCAAAGCAACATCATATCGTAATTGCTCATAAACTCAGCTCATGCCCAAGATTTTCTTTCTGAACAATAAACACATTAGTCAGTAAACTAATTGATTCAAAACGTTTGAACGACATAAATGACAGTTTCAACCTGCATTTTTTTAACGAAATATTTGCATATGCACTGTTAGTCCAATGTATTATTTAATTTATTATCATATAGCAAGTAATGTCTGATATAACTAAAATTATAAACATGAAATTCTTGGCTAGGGAATTGGCTTGGCTCCTGCATGCAGTTTAGACCCTGGGTTTATTCCAGGATATAGCCGGGATGTGGTGCATTGAAAATATTGATTGCATTGATCCATTTGATTTAAGTGTATAACAGTTAAAGTAGTTCATTATGATTTGTTTGCGAAATCGTCTTTTCGTTATCTTATAATAAACACTTTTTTCACTATTTATTTGCAGACAATTGTTTGTTGGGGGCCTTAGCTTGGATACTTCTAAAGGTATGCACGATAATCATTTGTGTTTTAAAAAAGGTGTTAAGAAACTGAAAGAAAAAGTTTTAAATCAACCCATGTCACACATTGTAAAGTTAATTAATGTAGATTTTTTATGTATGAAGAACAATTTAGTTGTAATAAGTTACTAATTTGAAACTATTACACTAGTTTTATCTGCAATGAAAGATCTATCTTATATTGTATTTATCGAAAATATTATCACTAAAGTTATCATTTACAGTCTGACAAGTAAGACTGAAGATTAGTGTCAATATAACTTTTCACAATGTCTAAAGATGAACGAAACTATTCGATGTTTTTTTTATTGTGTAATACTATTTTCTGATTGTTCATGGAAGAGAAACATGCAGATATAATGAGTATAAATATACAATATATTCATTTATATACAGAAATAGCCAGTATAATGATGACATGATTTTTTGTATATATAACATGTCTTCATTCCGGACTATGGTTACAGACAGTCTGTTAGAATACTTCAGACACTATGGGAAAGTCACTGAATGTGTTGTTATGAAGAATCCAGAGACCGGAAAGTCACGAGGGTTTGGTTTTGTGACCTACAGAGACCCATCAAGTGTGGATACAGTGTTATCAGTACCAGCACATATTGTAGACGGAAAACAGGTATATGAAAGAAAACATTTAATTTATTCTTTTAATTATAAGAAGAAAGTTGATAAAAAACGAAACAAAATGCATGATAAAATGTAGGGCTCGGATGATAACTTTAAGAATTATTTTAATATTGTGATTATGTGAAATAATTTGTGTATGATAAACAATTATGAATGTACATATAGATATGTGTGTTCTGCACATTTTTTTCTTTATATGACTTACTCAGTCTTTCTTTATGACTAAGTTAAGTTAAAGGTTGCTCAAAGTGTTTAAGTCATTGTGGTGGATACATTCACTTGTTTTCTGTGGTATCATAGATGAACAGTAAATGACATTTTAATTGCCTATGATGGAAACCGTTTTAAGGGAATGACATACCTTAGTATTTAGAAGTTACAGCAGATTAACATGATTTGGGTATCAAAGAACATTGCACAAATTAAACCTGACGGTAAAATTAGATTTTTTGGTAACTTGATATAAATGGACTCAAGTATTTAGGTTTTTGCTAAAGAGGTTTTAGAGATTAAGTTGCATTTAAATTAAAATTATTAAAGACAACTTATACTGTTGATGTTAAAGCTGCAGATGAGACAAATATTATAAGAGAATCAAAAATGTACTGAGAAATTTAAAGAAAAGAAAAGGATAAAAGAAATAATTTCCATGAGCTATAAATGACAGATTTTTCAGTGTTTTTTTTTGGACATATTTATACTGCGTTAGTAACAAGTAAGGGCTATTTTTGTATATTTCGACCTCATTTTGGTAAATAACATGGGTTGTTTGCAATGTGTAAATAATTTTCTTTGTTTTCTTCAAAATATTTTACTTTTTTAATACATTTGCAAAGTTTTCATGAAAATTAGCAGGAATTTGGAGACATGCTGCTTTAAGAGGTCCACTTTAAAGAGGTTGCCAGTTATGTAAAACATTAATCACACCGTATTACCGGCGGCAGTGATGACAGATCACTGCAGTGATGGCAGATATATGAAAATTACCGATCGGTACAGGTAGGTTATAAATTTGGTTGGTTTAATTATATTACACAAATACGGCCCATATCATTGCTATAAAACTATTGTCCATTGAATGGAAATACTGTAAGGTAATTTTGGACTCGTTTTTTCCTGTTTTAAGACTATTTTGAGCAGGTTAAAAGTGAAAGCCTTGGAAAAATCCGTGAAAATGTCTGTTTTCTGTTCAAAATATCTCAAGTTTTAAGTAAATGGCAGGATTTTCTGTTATCAATATAGACGTTCATCCATTGGGGTCACGCAAGCCAAATATCTACCCCGTGAGTCTTTTCTTGAAAGTTTTACAGACGCTCAATCTTGTCCGGTCGAAGAAAAAATGCTGCCGTTGTAGGCAGATACATATTATAAATGCTGCCGTCGATGGCAGAAATACCACGAAAGTGGCTAACATTCTGACAGAAAATCAAGTTCAATCTTTTATCAATTCCTCTTTTCTTTGCGTCCTTTTAGTCGGAATTGAGACGTTAAACTATCATTTCTAATATTTTCTCAAGATAGAAGTTATTAATGCGGTGTGTGCATCGAAAAAAGCTTTTTAGCAACATGCAGTTACAATACAAACTACAACGCTATTACAAACATGAAAATTTAAAGAAATGAATTTACGTTGTCGTGTTTTTCAAGAACTTGATAATATAGGAAAATATTTGAACTGTCAATAATATTATCTTTCCATTTTACATTAACATACATTGTTTTATGATACACTGATGCCAGTTGCGAGGTTAATAGTCTCCCCTTTATTACATCAATTTAATAATTTATAATCTGCGCCGATTAAGTAAATTTCAGCCTTTATTCGTCATAAAGCGATGAACATTATTACCTCGAGAAAATAATGTCATATGCTAGCAAATGAATATCCACTTACAGAAGTTACTTGCTGTAATATGCAATTGGCGTTATGTCTTAAAAAGGGAGTGCGCTGCTAAACTTAAGATAGATATGATATTGTATGCATGTAACTGACAGACACAACAGATCAAGCACACATGCTTGAATATAGAAAAATGAAGTTTTTCATGTTCATTTCTCTATTTATTGTGAAATTTTGTGGTACTAAATCATAACTTTTTGTATCGTAACTGCATGTTGCTAATAAGCTTTTTTTCGATGCACTTACCGCATTAATGAAAAAAATCAAAAAATCTACAAAACAGCAATTTTTCTTCAAAATTATATGTGAGGCCCTGTTTTAACATGGGAAAACGCATTTTTGGGTAATTTCGTTTTTTTTTATCATTTTCTGTTAACCCATTACCAGATATATACGCCTTTTTACGCCTTTTTCACCCCCCCTCCTTTTTTGCTTTCTCAAATGGTGAAAAAATGCCTTATTTAGGCCCCAAACACTTGTTTTTGTTTGATAAATGTTGTTTAAAAAATTGACCACTTTTTCGGCGCGGCCCCCACCCCCATTTAAAAGATAAATCAGGGGGTTGCCAGAAGGGGGATGTGCCCCCTTCTGTTTGGGGGGTTTGAAGGGGGGCTGAGTCCCCCTCATCGCCAAGAAAACTTTGGACTTGTGGGAAGCTAAAATGGCCCCAGGTCGATCATAAGGTAACGCGTAACCAATGCTGAAAAGCCTTTGACTCTATCTCAATCCATTGAGAAAGTGGCAGCACTTTGAAATCAATTTTGATGGAAAAAAGCAACGCAAAATAGTGATTTTTGGCAATTTTGAGATGTCCCCTAGTTGCTATGGTAACAGGAAATTTCAGACTGAACATGTTGTTACAAAGGCAATGGTCCAGTCAACATTTGTGCAAAGTTTGATTAGTATTGAAGCAGTTTTTATAGTTTTATAGCAACTTGAACTTGTAACGGGAGACCTTTCAAGAAAACAGCCATTTTCACAAGATGCTCATGGGTTATGGGTTAATAACTTTTCTATCTTGAGAAAATATTAGAAATGATAGTTTAACGTCTCAATTCTGACTAAAAGGACGCAAAAGAAAAAGAGGAATTGATAAAAAGATTGAATTTGATTTTCTGTCAGAATGTTAGCCACTTTCATCGTATTTCTGCCATCGACGGCAGCATTTATAATATGTATCTGCCTACAACGGCAGCATATTTCTTCGACCGGACAAGATTGAGCGTCTGTAAAACTTTCCAAGAAAAGACTCACGGGGTAGATATTTGGCTTTGCGTGACCCCAATGGAATGAACGTCTATATTGATAACAGGAAATCCTGCCATTTACTTAAAACTTGAGATAATTTGAACAGAAAACAGACATTTTCACGGAATTTTTCTAAGGCTTTCACTTTTAACCTGCTCAAAATAGAGTCTGAAAACAGGAAAAAAAAACGAGTCCAAAATTACCTTACAGTAACTCCATTCAATGGACAATAGTTTTTTATAGCAATGATATGGGCCGTATTTGTGTAATATAATTAAACCAACCAAATTTAAACCAACTTAAATCGATTCGGTAATTTTTCAGATCATCTGGCCATTTCACTGGGCAGTGAACTCTCATATTCCTGGGCGCCGTAATTAATACGGTGTGTTTAATTAAAATTTGAAAAACTATTACTGTTTTTTTTTTGTCCGTAAGATTAAATCATTTTCATAAAGACTGGATCAAAAATTGAAAAATACATGTATTGTGGTAGCTTATATTTTTAAGTTTGTACAAGTTTTTTTAACTACAGATTATAAAAAACATAACAAAAACTGTACGAATGGTTTCAGGTGTACCTAAAAACGCGCATGTAACCCAAAAGGGTACAAACCGAGGTGGGCGAAGGGGAACAGGTGGGTGGAGAGGGCAATACCCTTATAGATTTGCTTTTGAATCAAGTTAAATACTATCCCTTACAATATCATATCTATATTAAGCCCCCATAAATTTAAAAATTTTACATTAAACTTCAAAAACCTTTTATAAATTTTTTTATGAAATTTTGTTTGTATTGTTTTAAAGGGTATCATTTAAAAATTACGGAAAAATTTGCTTATTTTATAAAATTTAAAAATTTTGGGGGAAGTTTTAAGGGACGACTAAAATAAAGAACTTTTCTTTAAAAATCCCCCGGGGCCCTTTGTGAATTTTTGGTATTTCTTTTGTCTGTTACGTAAAAACACCGCCACATTTGAGCGTAAAATTTTTCGAAATTTCCAAATGTTCTTGAAATTTAATTATATACTCGTCTTTCAAATATTAACAAAATCAACACTATCCCTTTTTGTTTAAAATGCAGGCCCAAAATATTAGGAAATTGTAGCCACAATTTGTTTTCAGAAACCCTCATTCTTGTTCTATTCAACAATTTGTAAATCGCCACTTTGAAAACTCCGGACTGCCGATGGGTACTATATTTTTAATCCTTCCGCCAACAAATGAGTTCCTGGAGAATACACAAAAAACATTTTTGTCTCAACAGACATTGTTATGAAGATTTTTTTGTTAAACCATTAGAAAGATGAAAAGGTTGTTGAAAGTGGATGTTAATTCAAAACAGTGTCAATCAGAATAGCACAAATTTGTGAGCTACAGTGAAGTTGATTTCCCCATTAAATAATGGATTCTTCCAATAATTTCGTAACACCATCAGAAAGGAGACTGTGACATTTCTGAATTACAACGTTACGTAAAATATTTCGGTTCTTGAAAATGACTTGCACATTTAATTGTGTAAGATGTTGCACAAAGAAACGAAAGTGAACAAAAATGTTTTATTTTTTTTTCACAAAATTTAGCTGATTAAGATAAAAGTTTAATTTACTGTACAGATATTACTTTTACATCCTTCCAGTTTGCGGGAAAAATCATATATTTCAACACTGTGTACACCGGTCTTACTGATGAACGAATTATGTTATAATATTTCATTCTGAGAACAAACATACAATTCAAATAATTAGATAATGCATATCAATCAGTCCATTCTAAACTTTGCCTCAGAAAACATCTGTAACAATCCGACCTCGAGTTGAGATTATAAATAGAACTAAACCGGAAGTCTGACAAATTGGCCGCTATTCACAAGAAAATTGAGAACAAGTTGAAACAAGTATTTTGCCGACTATTTGTGAAGTATTAAGGCATGGCATTCAGTATTTATGTAAATTTATATCACCTCCCGTGATTTCTAAAATAATACATGTACACATGTATTATTGACCTCAATAAATGTAATGAAAATGGAACAATAATTATGGTAATTATCCATGGTGCTAGTAATACTTAATTATCTTTATCATATTGTTAACTAAGCAAGAAGCTTACTTATTTTTAAACATTACCTAGCTAACCTCACAATATTATCCATTTTAAATTGAAAATCTACTCAAAATGACTTCCCAGATGAAAATGATTCATGTAGAAAAATAACACAAGAAAAAACTAATTTGACTCATGAAAAGTTTGGCCAAACAGTCTGTCACGTGAAATTCTGACCATCCTGAGATCCCTGCTGTTTGTTGTTGTTGTTTTTTATAACATTTTACAAGATTTAATTTTACAACTAAACGTGTGTATAGAGCCTTTCATGTGATCAGAAAGAAGTTTTTAAAGAAAGGGGTGTTGGTTGTGCCATTTTTCTCAGCAACTACTTAGCAGATCTCATGATATTAAGTATACAGCATTGACACATTGTCCCATACCCTGGGATTTGATTAAGGTCTGTCGCTCATCCACTTCATGTTTACTGACTTAGTTAAATTCATAATAATGGTCACTGGTACCAATTTTTCGTAACAATTTTTTCAGCAACTACTTATCACAGATGTAAACACGCTACAGGGAGTGTATTTTTAAGCAATCTATACTTTAAAGAAAAGAACAAGAGCACCGCCAGGCGGAGCATTATATGCCTGAAAGTGATTTTTTAGTAAAGATGAAGCATTTGTAAGACATTAAAATTAAATAAAGTATTACCTCCTTCGAATAACAATCCTCCTAGGAGGTTTGAATATTGTGGTCCAAATGGAACTTCAGTTATGCCTTGGAAACTGTTTTCAGTTTTAAGGTAATAGTGACCTTGACCTTTAACCTTGTGACCCCAAAATCAATTGGGGTCTTCTACCTAACATGGACAATCATCCCATGAAATTTGAATATTGTGGGCCGCATTGAACTTAAGTTATGCTCAAGAAACTGTTATCAATTTCAAAGTTATAGTGACCTTTGACTTTGTGTTCCCAAAAACAAGAGGGGTCTTCTGCCCGATATAGACAATTATACTAAAAAGTTTGAACACTGTAAGTCAAAGGGAACTTAAGATATGCTCCGGAAACTGTTTACAATTTGAGGTAATAGTGACTTTGAACTTGTGACCCCAAAACCAACATCATCCTATGAAGTTTGAACACTGTGGGCCAAATGGAACTTAAGTAATGCTCCGGAAACTGTTTTCAGTTTTAAAGTAATATTGACCTTTGACCTTGTGACCTCAAATTCAATTGTGGTCTTCTACCCAATATAGACATTCATCCAATGAAGATTGAACATTGTGGGCCAAATGGAACTTAAGTTATGCTCCGGAAACTGTTTTCAGTTTTAAGGTAATATTGACCTTGACCTTTGGCCTTGTGACCCCAAAATCAATAGGGATCTTGTACCTCGTATGCATAATCACCCTATGAAGTTTGAACACTGTGGGCTAAATGGAACTTAAGTTATGCTGCGGAAACTGTTTTCAGTTTTAAGGTCATAGTGACCTAAACCTTTCAGCTTGTGACCCCAAACTAAATAGGGGTCTTTTACCCAATATGGACAATCATCCTGTGAAGATTGAACACTGTGGGGCAAATGGGACTTAAGTTATGTTCCGGAAACTTTTTTCAGTTTTAAGGTTATAGTGACCTTTGACCTTGTGACCCCAAAATCAATAGGGGTCATTTACCCAATATGGACAATCATCCTATTAAGTTTGAACACTGTGAATCAAATGGGACTTAAGTTATGTTCCGGAAACTGTTTTCAGTTTTAAAGTAATAGTGACTTTGACCTTTGACCCTGTGATCCCAAAATCAATAGGGGTCTTCTACCCAAGATGGACAATCATCCTATGAAGTTTTAATATTGACGGCCAAATGGAACTTAAGTTATGCTCCGGAAACCAAATTGCTAACGGACGGAAAGACGGACGGACGCCAAGGGGTATAACAAAATATGCCCGACAATCATTTCGGGCATATTAAAAAGTGGTATATTTGTACACTTGTTTGCATTCCTGTTGCTGTTGGACAAAAATACGTACTTTACATTTGACACTCACCTTTAAAGGACATTAAAGAATTTTATAAACCTGTGTCTGTCTTCTTTGTTGGATAAGAAGTACTGAATAATCTTAATAATTGCTTGTAATATTTCTATTTCTAAATCTGGGATATAGTGTTTTTCAAAGAGAAAATTTGGTGAAAAAAAAGCATGCTGAGCATCAAAGATTATTTTTGCCTTATCATTGTCAAATCATTACATGGAAGCAGACAGGGGTGAAACAAAACCTAAGTATAATATTAGGAAATGCAAAATTAAATTAAGTCTGACTAAATGATAGAAACTAGAAAATGTACACTTCAAAATGTACTTCAGTCTGAATTTAAACATGCATCACATTTATATCGGTAATTATTAGACATTAATTTTTGAAATACCCCGGTCACATATTCACGGAATACGCCCACGGGAGAGCCACGGATTAATTTCGGCATCGTCCGTAGCTACCCGTTCTGGTCTGTAGCTCTCCGTATTGTAACCGTAATCAATCGTAGCTAGTCCTTGTATATCCGTAGCGATCCTTGACAATTTTTGAACATGCACACAAATTTGCTACGGAAAAATCAACCGTAGCGTATCCCTTCTAGTCCGTATTAAACCGTACTGATCCGTACGGAAACTGTACTAGTCCGTACTGATTCGTAGGCCTCAACCTACTACGGATTTCCACGGTTTGGTACGGAGAACTAAGTATTTGTACGGTTACCCTACGTATAAACTACGGTTTTAATACGGATTAATACGGCATTGTCACGGAAAGCTACGATCGTAATACGTTGTACTACGGAGAGGCAGGGATTAGCACGGTCTTATACGGTTTATTGCGTTGCGGAATGGTACGGTCAACCACTGTTTAGTACGGATAACACAGATTTATATTACATACGTGGAATAAATTAATAGTATCATGTGCTTTTTCAAGGGTATAAATACTACCTTTTTGTTAAAATAGACTTATTTGCGTGAACATTCAATAAATGATAAATGCCATTTACTGGCCATGCAACTTTATATTGAAATAGCACAGCTAGAATGCGGAGGCAGTGGTCGAGCTGCTTGATGACATGCACAGTGGTAAAAATATATTAATATCGTACTACAATTCATGTGTCTCATATATAAGCCTCGGACGCTGGCACATGAGTGATAATAAGATTAATTATAAGCTTTTTACATATTTTTAAAACATAAAAACATTCATGATAATTAATGTTATTGTAAAATGAACAGCAAATTTCAAAATCAAAAGAGAAGCAGTATTGATCAACATTTTTCTTTAATGATTACTAGCCCATATCATTCTAATCAGGTAAGAGGAGATGGTGGACTAGAAATGGGGTTTACGAAGACCCCTTCATGTTTAGTATGAGACTCTAATGGCCGAACCTGTTGATGATCTGGCGTCCTTCATGAACTCCACTTTAATCGGAACTGATATGACTCGGGGGTCGGACTCGATGAGGCCGAATCCTCTCCGCCAAAATCATTGAACTCTGCAAATTGTTTTCTAGATGTTCTTTTCTTGTGAGGCCTTTTGAAAATGAGCATGCAAGGGATTGTGGACGGATATAAAAGGTCCGTATTATAAAGGCGCGGGTTATATTTACAAACAGCCGTTTATATAAGGCCATATAACCTGTCAACAATCTTAATAACTAATATTAACATCAATAAATGAATAAAAAGTGAAGCAATGTAAAATGAATGTGTCTTTTTGTCTGTTGTGTAGCGATTGCTGGAGGGTCCACCGAGCTGGCATTGGAGTCTGAATCCCTAGGAGACAATGTTATTGCCGGTTGGTCCTCTAGCTTATCAGGGTCAATAAGTTTGAGTGGTCGGTGGGCCTGGATGGCTCTTCTTGTATTCCTTCTATGCGTTCAAAACTTCTTCTTTGGATACATTCTAGTGTGATGCAGCAAGCACTCTTGGTAGGGTGGCAGCAGCTAGTTGTGTTTTTTGTACAGTTCTTGCTGACGTAGAGGCCGTGTTAGACCGTACGAGGCCGTTTGAGACCCTGTATACCCGTACTTTACCGTGTCGGCCATGTATGTTTCGTATATGAACCGTATTGGTCGTATGGCGATCGTATGAAACCGTGTGTGCACTCGTTTGAATCGTACCGTGATCTTGTGACATTCGGGTGTTAATCGGGTGTTGCATGTAGGACTTGTGGACGGTCTCGAACGATTCCATACGATTTATATACGACCTTGATACGGTTGGGCTCACTCGTGGAGTGAACTTCACATACGGCTGTATATACGGTCTCATACGGTCTCACACGGTCTCTTACGGTCTTGTACGGTCGCTTATACGGTCATACACGGACATGGCATCCGTACCAGTTTTTTAAAAGTTTTAAAAATCATACACGGCTTACACGGATACACTCGAATGGCCCGAGTGTAACTCGGATAACGCTACGGTTAGTTCGGTTGTATGTACGGTTTACACGGGTGGCCAACCGTGTAAGCCGTGTGTCCTGTGTGAGATGGGCTTAAATTTAATTATTGGTGTTTTTAAATTGATTATGATTGTCACACATATAAATGGCAAAGAAGTTAAACTACAGGTAAGTGCATTAAAAGGGGGTCAGGTCATTGACCTTCAAAGGGTATGGACTGTAAAAACCCTGCCTATATCTTTGCAGTCGTTGCCAGTCTGTGACAGGTAAGTGAAAACACCTTTAGGATATCAATTTACCGAAAATTGATTTAAACAAAGTTGAGATGCTTATAGGAAGCGACATCCCAGACGCATTCTTAGAAGAAGAGCAGCGAAGGGGGAATAAATGTGAGCCTTATGCAATTAGGTCAATATAAGGCTGGAGTATTATAGGACCCACATGTAATAAATCGTCAAATGATCAAGGTAGTATCAATTTTCAGTTTACATCTAGTACACAGTTGCAAATCGATAAGTTATGGGCAACCGACTTCCCAGAGGTCAAGAGCTGTGGCACAGGGATGTCACAGGAAGACCGTCGTGCACTTTCAGTAATAAAAGGTACAGTAGTGAAGGAAAACGGTCATTACAAATTGTGAGTCCCCTGGAGAAACCCAGACTTAAGTCTTCCAAATAACGTGAAGATGGCTACGGTAAGATTATCTTATTTAAAGCGAAAACTTCAAAGAGATAATAAGTTATTTGATAAGTATAAAGAAGCGGTGAATAGGTATATAGATAAGGGTTATGCTTCCTTATTAGATACCAGAACGGGATTCGAACCCTGACGTACTTGCTATCTACCTCATCATCCAGTTGTTAACCCAAAGATGCCGGGTAAGTTAAGAGTTGTCTTTGACTGTGCTGCTAAGTATCAAGGCACATCGTTGAATGACAATCTGTTACAAGGTCCCGACCTAACTAACAGTATTTCTTATGCGATTCCGGCAGGCCCCAGTAGCATTGGTTGCGGACATAGAAGCCATGTTCCACAGGTAAGAGTATGTGAGCATAATAGGGATTTTTTAAGATTTCTTTGGTGGCCTCAGAGTAACTTGAACGAGGACCCAAAGGAGAATCGTATGGACGTCCACTTGTTTGTTGCAACTTCGCCACCAAGTTGTGCGGCTTTCAGTTTAAAGCGCACGGCAAATAAAAATACTGATAAATTCAGTCAAGAAGCGGTAAGTACGGACGAACGTAATTTATACGTTGATGACCTTCTTAAGTCAGTATTAGACTTAAGTTCGGGAATTAGACTTGCCGCAGAAATGAAAGAACTTCTTTATTACGGAGGGTTCAGACTGACAAAGTGGCTCTCTAATTGTGAACATGTCATGAATCCGGTCACAGAAGCGGATCGAGGTCAGTCAAATGAAAAAATAGACATTGACAACGAGTCGTCATGTGAGCGAACACTTGGGTTACGGTGGAATGTTTAGCATGACCAATTTGTGTTTGATGTAAATCTCCATGACAACAGTACGACAAGACGTAATATCTTGTCGGTTGCCAGTTCATTGTATGATCCGCTTGGACTGTTGCACCAGTGACGTTAACACCAAAATTGATTCTACAACGTGCATGTTGAACAAACCTAGGCTGGGACGAACACAATTACAGATGCGGATGCTGAAAATTTTTTGCAGTGGCTAGCCAGCCTACCAGCACTATCGAATGTAAGTATTAATAGATGCTTAATACCAAGTGAGCTCGACAGGTCAACCTTGAAAGCTGATCTACATATGTTTAGTGATTCATCTGGGTATGCCTATGGATCGAGTGTGTACTTCAAAGTGTATGACGCGAATGGATACAGTAAGTGCAATCATTTTATAGGTAAGTCTAGGTGAGCACCTATAAAGGCTATTTCGATACCAAGACTCGAACTTGCAGCAGCTGGACTTGCTGTAAAACTGTACCAGATTGTCATAGAGGAGCTTGATGTCAAAATTACTGAAAGGTACTTTTGGACAGACTCTATGATTGTGTTAGGATACATTTGAAATGAAACGAAAAGGTTTAAGACTTTCGTTGCAAATAGACTATCAATAATTCATGAGGTGACGTCACCGCATGACTGGAGGTATGTGCCCTCAAAGAGTAACCCTGCCGACATTGCGTCAAGGGGAGTTAATCCACAAGACACTGAAAAGCTTGACATATGGTTGAATGGTTCCGAATTCCTTAAAAGGAATGAAGCAGTGTGGCCAGTGCAGGTAAGTAATGCTACCATAAATGAGGGTGACATAGAGCTCAAACCTCAGGCTTGTGTACTAAACACTCATGGTTAGTATAATTCGAGTAATGGATACGTTACTTTGTAAGTTCTCCGACTGGCATAAACTTTAAAATGCAGTCGCTTGGCTAATACGTTTAAAGTGTTTCTTAAGTGAGAATTACTTACGCCAAAGACGAAGTCTTTACAGTAAGGTAAGTAGTAAGCCCCTTAGTATGGGGGGAATTAAAATGGCACAAACAGCCATCTTTAAATTAGTTCAAACGGAGGCGTTTGAAAATGAAGGCTCAGAGGCAAGTTCCGAGTTCGAGCCCTCTGAAAAGGCTATGACCTATATTGAAGGATAATGTAATGCAAGATGGCGGACGACTAGCAATGTCCGACCTACACGTAGATGCTAAGCATCAAATTATCTTGCCGAGTAGCCATCACCTGACAAGAATCCTGATACAAAACTGTCATGAACAGAATGCGCACATGGACCCAGTACATATTCTGGCCATGTTGCGACAAAAGTATTATATAATCCACGGTCTGCAAACAGTTAAGTCTGTTATCGGTAGGTGCATAACTTGCAAACGATAGTTACAACGACCGAATTGCAACATATGTGCGATCTTTCAGAAGAAAAGCTCACACCCGATAAGGCACCGTTTACGTATGTCGGTGTCGATTTTTTTGGCTCGATGACTGTGTAATCTGGAAGAAGACATCTGAAAAGACACGGCTGTATATTTACATGCTTGACCACCAGAGCAGTGCACATAAAAATTGCTCATAGCTTAAAGTACGGACTCTTTCATCTGTGCACTGCAAAGGTTTGTAAGTCGTAGAGGCCGTCCCGAAAACATATTCAGTGACCATGGGAAAAATTTTGTATCAGGAAATAGAGTTTTGCATAATAGCATTCGGCAATTTAATCAAAGTCGACTCGCAAAATGATGTCAACAGCAAGAAATAAAATGGCATTTTAATCCTCCATATGCAAGTCATATCGGACGGTATTTGGGAACGGTTAGTACGGTCCACAAAAAGGGCTATAAAATCAGTAGTCTGGTTCCCAGCTTCTATTGTAAATGTTTAGACAAAGGGCAGGTAATCCAGACTATAAAATCAGTTATTATTTTGGAGAACAACTTCTCAACGATGAGGCTCTGTTAACTTTAGTTACAGAGATAGAAAAGATTCTCAATGATAGAACGATTACCCAGGTAAGTAGTGATCAAAGGGATCCCCAAATAAACTTTTGATTATGAGAACAAATGCTTCTTTAATTTCCACCAGGTTTATTTGAAAAGCGTGATGTTTATTGTAAACGCTGGTGGCGACCGGTACAGTATCTACCGAATGTCTTCTGGAAAATGTGGGTTTGTGAATATCTGCCGACTTTACAAGTAAGTCAAAAATGGCATAACATTCAAAGGAATGTGTCCGTAAATGACCTCGTTCGCGTCTGTGACGAGCAATTATCTCGGGACAAATGGCCATTAGGCCTCGTTCTGGAAGTAACATAGGTAGAGACGGACTTGTAATATCATGTAAGGTCAAGGTAAATGGGTCCGTGAAAGTACGGCCGGTAACGATGTTATGTGGATTAGAACAGGAAACTGTTCATGCAAACTTATGACAATAGTCAGCAATGAATTAACGTTTAATGAGCGGTTTAGTTTGCCTCGCTATTAAGACGTTATATTAAAAAAAGTGTATATATTTGTAACATAATCTAGATTAGTAAAAAAATTCTAGAACTTGTGAATGTTTTGATTATTACAAAACGAGTATTAAATTCTTCGTTTTCCCTTCATATATAAGAATGAACTTATGAAAAAAAGTTCATTGAGGGCCGGTGTTCTAGACTCCGAATGTTGGTGCTGGTTTTAATTATCAGAGACCGGTTTAAAATGTTTGGATAATTGTTTTGATTTCAATAAATCATGTCAACTGTCCAGCGCAGGGTTTTTAGTGCGCTCTGATCCCTGCCAAGACTAAGCGTTCCCTAGTAATTAATGATCCCTATATTTAGATCAAAGTGCTGCAGCACTGAATGCAACGGACATACAATCGGAGAGACATTAAGGCTTTTATTTTAGAAAAAAAAACAAAAAAACAAAACAAAATACAGTAGAATCCCTCCTTAAGACCATCCCCGAATTAAGACCACCTCGCTATTAAAACCATTTTTTATAAGAACGGAATTTTCTGTTCTTTATGTCAATAGTTACATGATCCAGAATTAAGACCACCTCGCTTATCCACTTTTAAGACCACCAGATTCAGTCCCAATTCACTATTTTGTTCTTTATTTGACCCCACTATTGAGACCACAGATTTAAAGTCAACACCTGCCTAGATCTTTTATTTGTTGTTATGTTGTTATTTTCTGCTTAAATGCTCTTAGGCATGACCCTTTATTTCACAAGGTGTCAAACACACCTTTTATTATTGGGATTTTGTATGAAAGAAGGTGAGAAAGTAGATTTTAGAGTGGTTTAATGTTGCTTTAAGCACATTGATTTTGCTATGAATTTATTTCTTATTTGATGGGTGTATTATGTACACCATATAATAATTAATATTGAAATCAGATCAAATAGAATTTGATATTAAATTGCTTCAGAAATGTTATCCTCCCATCAGATGTAACATTATATCATACTTTAATATTTGTTGGTTAGGATACATATTGTTTATTCACACAAAATGACTAAAATAGAACATGGTCGTAAAGTGTGTAAGCAATAAGAATACTCACAATTAAGACCACCCCGCAATTAAGACCACTTTGGTCCAGTCCCGATGGTGGTCTTAATTGAGGGTTTTTACTGTAAATAACAGAGAAAATTTGTTCCATACAAGTTCGAGATTTGTAGAGCAATATATTTTGTGTCCCAAACTGATATAATTACAGAATGAAGTTTATGCCTAAAAACTCTGGTCAAACTTGTAAATCAGTGTCCTTATCGACTTATTCCAAGAAATGATTATGTAAATAGAAAAAAATACTGTCAACGAAATATTTCTAAAATATAACCATGCAAATAAACTTCAAGCATAATACATTATACATTTGAGATTGCTATTTAGAATTGCTTCGAGTTATATCATAGTGGGCATATAGACAATAAAAAATAAGTCATTTGTATTTTTATTTCTCTTGGATATTTGGTTAAAATCATCAGCAATTAATAGTGTATTTTTTAGATATTTTTTATTTACAAGGTAAAGATGTAGAGGCCAGAGCACATCGTTTTTATTTTAATTTAAATGTCACTTAAGCACTACAGTGTTTAGTTGTCCTTTTCAATTTCACACTAAATTCCATTTTCAACTTGTTTGCTTCTTACAATTGTATAGAATTTCTTTAAGTATTGCATGTAATCCGCTGGATTATTACATGTATAATGTGTACTCCTAGCTAATCGCCTGTCCAAAACTTCAGCACAGGTGAAGTTGAATCTTTTTTAGAATAGCGAAGGTTATAACACATATCGTGACCTAGAAAAATATGTAAACAAACCACAAGAATCGGAAGTAGAACAACTGATATTATAACTTCCTTACCATGAAAGACTACATGGTGGTAAAGTGTTGAAAAACTCTCTTCTTACATGCATTTTCAGAAATAGATATTTATACTAACAATTGTACTGTATCTAATTTATTAATCAATGTTGAATACTCAGCTAAACCCGCGGTATGAGTCACGAAAATAGTTCTTCTTTTATTAATGCGCCAGTTATCCTAGAGTCACGAAAAACTTTCGATTTGTTTATAATAATGTTTTGTATAATGTAGAAATATTCATTTCCTACTAATAATTTCTTGGAACTCAGAGCTTACATCTTTATTGCTGTCCTACTTTTTCGACAGCGGTAAATCGTTTCGGCAGTAATTTGCATATTGCACAATAATACTACGGGGCTACAACGTTTTTATCAATCATATACGTTCATATTTTAACTTGGATAACTTAATTTGAAATTGAAGAGGCTAAATATGGAAGATTTTAAGATATCCCGACAAAGTTTGGGAGTTTTGAAGGATCAAATTCATGTACTATTTCTTGGGCTGTTAATCGGTTAAGGACACTTTGCGCGATTGTAGCCGACGAAATCCCATGTGTAGATGACTTAGCTCTGAACGCGCCTGAGGGCGCGTCCGTCGCGCAAAAATCAAATTTTACTTTTATTTCTAAGAGGGTGC